TTATAGGTAGAGCTTATGATAGTAAACACAATAGTGTTTCGGTGCCATTCTAGGATGATGTCTAAGTGCTTAGTTTTGTGAGTGTCATCTCCAAAAATCAAGGGTTATAGTCAATAATCTCTACCGTCACAAGATATTTTTTACAAACTATAGGAAGATTATGACGTTTTACAAGATCTCTATCGATAAAACAAGCAAAGGCTCTAGAGTCTAGAGTCTAACAAGTTTCTGACTTGGATGCTATGTGGATGAAAATCTATCTGAAGTGGGATATTAAAACATCAAGAGGGTTCAAAGGATAGAATAGGAATTAATGATGTAACAACACTTGTCGATCGCACAGTCCCTAAAGTGGCTAGCAGTTGTCGTCTTTCGACTCGATTTCCTCGTGTCTTGACTCAAAAGCGCTATGAAATTTGAGTAGTTTTGATCCTTGAAATTTCAGAATGTAGTTCTTTAACAAGTTGTCCTTGCCTCCACAATACAAACACAAGTGTTCCTTGCGACGTCGTTCCTTCTCTTTTTTAGTTAATTTGTTCATCTTTGAAGTGTCGATTTGCATAGACTTTGAGGTTGATGTATTTGAAGATGATAGGTAAGCTGGAGCCGCATAATTCTTTCTATATGATCCTAAAAGTAGTTGTTGTTCATGTTGTTGCTTGGACAATCTATTGTCGCAGTCGATTTCTTGAATAATCGCTAATGATAGAGTGGTTGGTTTATGCAAGTTTAATAACAAGGTCTTGATGTCGTCGCAAAGTCTCCATCAAAACATGCTGATGAGAGCGGTATTGTTCTAATCGAGATCGCACACAAGTTGCTAGAATTCGGCAATATATGCTAAAGGTGGACGCAATCGTTGTTGCAACATTCAAAGTTTTGTTGTTGCAATGAAGATTTGATCTCTTTCTCCAAACTTTTTGCTAAACTCTTCAAGAATTGAGCTATCTACTACTAACAGTATCTGTCGGTAGCAGAGAGTTTTTCTCCAATAGTGACAAAAACTAGGATGAAACTTTGAAAAACAATGAACATATGAGTCTGACTTGTGTTTCTTTTGTTGCATATCTTTGTGGTTGGAAACGGAAGACAAGCCAAATTTGATTGACAAAATTTCAAAGTTTCGTACGATCGCCGTCAAACTTCTGAGGCAAACTCACACGAAGTTCCTTCGGCGCTTGTGGAACTAGATTTTCTATAGCCGTTAGAACATGGATTGGAGCTTGAGCAACTTGAAGTTGTTCCATGGCATTTCGTAGCTTGCATTCTCTTGTTGTTGTTGTTGCACTATGGCAAACATGTCGTGCATCTGGATGTTGGAAACGTCTTCCCTCTTGGATTGAATACGCTTGTATACTAACAATAAAGTAGTAGATCTTTGAGTTGTGTACTCTCAGAATGATCACAGGTTGTGAAGATCTTATGAAACTTAAATAGAATTCCTCACTTCTGACAAATGATGAAATCTCTCAATTCTCAATTCTTCGGTTTAAAGAAAAAAGTACTTCTAGAACAATTGGCTTTGATGAAATAGAAAGTCGGTTCGAATTCATGCAAAAGCTCTCATGAATGATGACTACGAGAGAATATCAGCTTAGAAGTGTGTAATCCACAACCTCTAAGACGCCATGACTCTTTAAAGAAGAGGGGTAATTCACACTTTATCTTGCAAAAGTAGACCCTGATATAAGATAAACTAAAGAAGAACTAGGAAAGTCACTCTCTTTAAACTGTTGCAGCAACTCCTTGACGGAACCGGAATCAGAATTGGAGTAAGACCTCAAACATGAACGAGAATTGATTAGAGGTGAAGGAATTCCTCATAGCGACTCAATTACAACTCAAAGATGAAAGAATTGGGAGATGTATTGATAATTGGAAGAGTACGGTAAGACTGGATGTTGTATGTGTGAAATAAAACTAAAAGTAGCCAAGGAATTAATTATGGTTAGTTTAATTATGACTAAATCTAGCTAGTTATAACTAAGTTCATTAAGTTATTACTATGTTTAGCTATAATGTTTATACTTGGCGGAATAACTAGAGAAGTTCTAGAAGATTTAAGTTAGAACTTCTATTTTGTCTTGTACAAAAGTCTAGATTTTAAGATAAAAGACTTTTGACTTCATGTTTAGTTTTGATTGGTTTGAGTAAGTAAGTAGTACTCCATTGGTTAGACTAAGTTCAATGTTGATTTACTGGCAAGTGGAGGTTCTAGAAGTTGGAAAGACACAAATAGCATGTTGTCTCCTCAATCTAGGAATTAGTAAACATCTAGAAGGTTTAGGAGGCCAATGGCATGTTGTCACATATTGATAACTAGTTAACCTTATTGTGACTATCTTTCTAAAAGTAAGTTAGATAGGAATTATCATTTGTTACTATAGTAAATTCTCAAGTATTATATATAGAGAGGTAGTGAAGAACATTTCAAGCAAGTTTGAATAGTTCATATGTAGAGACTTGTTTCATATATGAAAAAATGACGATTATCAGTACCTTGAAATATCTATGTGTGTGTGAGTTGGAGTGATACATTGAGTGATTGTGTAAGTGGGTGTTTGGACTATGAGTATAAGGAGGAATCATAGTCTTCTAGAACCATGATGAACTACCGCAAAGCCATATGAGATAAACCTAAGTGAGAATCAATCCGAAGGTTGCAGGACCCACAACTGGTGTTAAAGAGAGTGAATAACAACGTCCCTTACCTCTCTATTTATACTAGACCATGTCTAGACTTGCTTTGCATTCAAGGCAATGAGTAGTTGCTTGCGAAGCTTCCTAAAACAAGAGGGATTATCTAGGAACTAGTGGAAGGTTCATGAACCTTCTAGAAACTAACTAGAGTTAATTGTAGACTTGACCATCGATATTATGGGATCTATGTGTCTCATGATTAACTTGTGGGGTGTAAGTAAAGACTGGTATGGCATGTCCATGACATTAATTTGTTTTATTTGTCTATCTGTCTGGTGATGATAAGGCGATTATAGATTGATCTTCACTTGTAAGATATTGAACAAGCATTGCCAAAAGTTAGAGTTGAATATTATACCACGATAAAAAGTTGAAAAGTTCATGATATCTGTACACATTCTCTAAAAAAGTTGTACCATTTTTTACATTTGATAGTCTTGTTGCTGTTGCGGATGGCAACTCGAAATGATATTTGAAGCTCAAAAATCAGAAGGAGTGACACTCAAAGAAAGAAAGATGAAAGTAATCTTGAGTAAACAAGACATAATAATAATACTAAAAGGTGAAATGTAAATGGTGTTGTTGAAAGTGAGGTACAATGTCCCGAAGCTCTGAATGTATAGGGTTAAGACACTCTAAAATGGAAATCAAATAGTTTTGGATGAATATTAGATAAAATTTTGCAAAATCTAACAAGTATTGTAGGTCTCAAAAGGTAGCGGGTTTACTCCAATAGATGACTGATTGACTCTTGTATCACATGTTGATTTGCTTGCATCCCAAGCGTAATTCCAATAGATGACTAATTGAATCTTGTACCACAAGCTACTTTCCTTGCATCATAAGCCTCGCAGTTGATTTATCCAAATATGTACTAGTGCTACTTCTTGTTGTATATGGTATGAGCAATGTGAGTAGCTAAAAGGAATTGGTTTACCCCTACACTGGTTTTATTCTTTTCTCATTGGCGGAATTTATGATGGCATTGCAAGAGAAGATGGAGATATGAGTCTAGGGAATAGAGTATGTATGTTATCATTGAAACAACATTGCACGAGAGCAGAAATACAAGTCGTGATTGTTTCTTATACAAGTTGTTAGTGATTCTTATGTGAGAGATCTCTGCATACTTGTAACCAAAAAACCATAGAAAGTCATATGAATTTATGGAGGTGGAAGAATTTAGTCAATCATGTGTTAAGATTCTTGTTAAATTAAGCATAAAACAAATTTTTAACAAGAAACGAATGGCGTCTTTAGAAATATAACATGTTTTTCCGATATCTTTCACAAAACATAATATATGTTTTCAAAAGATCTTTCCAATTTACTTTTGTGTGATTCAATATTGACTTTATTCACGATTGGTATTGATTTTCTTACAAGTATATCAGGAAACGATGATAAATACTTGGGTACGAAAGTTTCAAAACAATTGCATATACATACAACTATCTTGCAAGATAGTTGTATGTATACATGTGTACTTATATTTATATCTACTTAAGTCATCTAAGATTTTAGAACAATTGTTAGACATCTGTCTGACTCAACCTACTAAAATCTTCTAAGAAATGTGTAAACCTTACCCCAATCCACAAACCTTTGCCCCTTTCAATGTTCATTAGTATATCCGCAAATATCAACTCCAAAATTCAACTACGGTATTTGTCTGTGCTGTGTGAAAATGCAAACTTCTTCGAAAGATAAATGGATAACAAGGATGATGGTCATCATTTGTTTCCTCCCCATGGTTTCATTTACATTTCTTTCTTCTGCCTCAGTCAGCGCAGACAGTCAGATGTTCCAGTACCTGGAGAGCTCTGCCTCCAATCTTACCGTCGTACTTGTGAGAAATTTGGTGATCAGGAGAGTGTTGTCATCTCAGACTATAAGTGGAACAACGTTCAGGGCGCCAAATTTTGCAACCGTCCAGACGACAATGTAGTCATAAATAATTGAATCCGTCTGTGGTGGTTAAGTCATACACCCGACAGTGTTTCCTTCATAGTGGTTTTCGTTTACAGTGTGGTTTCGTTGGGTTTCATCGATATGTCAAACATTATCACAATCTTTAGTGCTACTACAGATAGTCAATTCAAATGACATAGTGTGATTAAGAGACATAAGGTGATCATCTGAAACGATGATCAAATCAAGGGGACATTTCTTCCCGTCCCGATGCATCACTTTTGGAATCCTCGAGTACTTTACTTTCCTCAAAAGTTCAACAGTTAACGTCGTTTCCAAAGAAAGGTTGCATGAATAGACATTTCCAACAATTCCTACTAGGCAATGTACTGCAGTAGAAGAGATTTATTCACGGCCATGTTCAAGAATCGTATCGTAAAATTGTGCACTTTTCTGCTAGTCCGGATGCAAAGCTCTACTTCAAGCTACATAGGGTGGCACAATCGCTGCCAGAAATACGTCGACACAGCTGTGGGAGACCGGCCTTTCCGGGCAATATAAATTTAGTCCGAATGAACTTCCAATAGACTGGCCCACCCGACCGTTCCGTGCTGTATGCAAAGAAGGCGCATCTCCTAAGTAATCAGCTCCCCACAACAATTTCATAATTTGGGTACAACGAAGACCCAACATGTGAAAGAGTCGTTGGTTGTAACTGAAACGGTGCAGACATAATGAGGACAGAAAAGCTATTCCGAAAAACTGCAGTCAATCTTTGTCCTGATCATAAGGGCGAGGAACCAAGAAAATGGCACAAAGGATGAAAAGGCATGACATGATGAGACGGCGTTTGTCACGCTTGCGTATATTACTATGTTGCTACGGACCAAAAGACCAACCGTTTGTAGCCACAGGCTGTCTCACTCACAATGCAAGTAATCGCTGCGTTTTTGCGATTGTAACGACCGCTTCACCATCGGCTGAGCTAATATTGTCCATAATGACTGCCATTCACTTCTCAATGGCAGCCGACCGCGAAGTATCTGACGCTAATCGCTGTAAATGTTCCATTCCTTCATTGACATCAAATCGTTTAGTGCACTACTCCACAGGATAACTTCAACTCCACCCGAAAAGTTCGTCCTGATATGGCCGCATTTAATTGCCTTTTCTGGTAATCCGTATCATTTGAACTAGTTCCATCACGAACTGAAAAAAGTCGGTAGACTCTCGTCGGTCTTGTCTCTTGCATAAAAATTTGAGAAAACGCTAAACACGTGATCCACCCTCGAGGTCTGCTCTCTTTGACAGCGAGGCTTTTCTTCCAACGTGTGCAGACTTCAATTTCAGATAGAACAAGTGTTGTCGAGATGACAAGATCTTGAATAACTCGAATTAAATCTCCACCCGTGTTCAAATTGACCTCATACAAGAGGTAGAAGTTGGAGTCGATTTAGAGCTCCCGCATCCTGTTTCTTTATCTCAAATTTCACCGCCCACGTCATTACAAACTAACCTGCAAAACGATATACCCCCGACAAAAAAACCTTTAGTGTGACTAGTAATTCGCTCTAAATTCGATAAACTCGTAGCGAGACAAGCTTGAACCTATACACTCGAAATCGAACGTTCTTACCGAATTTTCTGCACGTCGCAGGCACCTCCATGTGTCCAAATAATACGAAGCTCAATTGCAGCATGCCAAAACCTCATGAGGTTTTTCGGTCACATAACCAAACGTTGAATATCCGTTCTACCCTTAATACGATCCGGATAGAATGAGATCAGGGTTTAAATGCAAAATCTTCGTTGTTAGGCTCGAGCGGCTAACAGCGAAAGTCGTGAATGCAACTCGGCGTCAGCGAGCTTCATCAATGACTGAAAGAAGTTGCGTAACGTTCACAAGCCCAGGGCGCGGGTAGAAGTTCATACCTCCTACTTTGCGCACAAAGGAAAACAACCGTAGGAAAAAAATGCGGAGTACATAGAATGGTCTGTCCATATCATATCATCTAGACCGAAACCGGCATACGTTGTGCTCGGAAGATCAGTAAAACAATATCTACATAAGAAGTGCAAACAGCAAAATCCGACACAAGACGTGATATGATTGCTTAAAAAGACTTCATGTCAGCTGATACTGCTATATACTGGCAGATCTTGCGATATAAAGAAGTCGGCAAGAAACTCTCGACGAGTGATCCAAAGGGATTCCACTACTGCATACATAACCACGAAAAGAAACTAGACCGTGATATATACAAATTTTAATACGTGATTCGTGACGGTCAAATCCCGACCTATCCTTGCCACATTAGAAACGCATTCAGGGTCAGTCGTGTACTCATGAGGTCCAAACACAAAAGACCGTGTTAGCAAGATGTACTAGAAGAATACTGAACATTTGACAGGTACAGCAAATAATCAGTAGAAAGTACCCGCTCCTTTCCTGCTGCCTGCGAACATGCGATGTAATATACCCCGACGATCCATTCAGGTAAAAGAGATAACAAAAACGACACTGATGATTGAAGATAAGTCTACCGATAGGCTCAATAAGAGACAGTGCACGAGGCTATACCCTTTCAAATTTTGACCAACGGAACAGCGAGGTTACTAAGAACCTTCGAGAACCCTGTTTCCTGAGTAACCAAAAAGTTCTTCCAACATCCCCATGCGCGAGAAAATGTTTGCGAATTTATTAGCGTCCAAATAAGAGGGATGCAAAGTCAGAAAACTATACCTGATGAGAGATCGTCGGTTGCGTACCTTGCTCGACTTCGGAGCCCTCTGATTAGGCATAGGATTGATATCACTCCATCAAAAGCGATTCACTCAATTCGTCTTCCTGTCTGACAAAACCGGCTTCACAGAAGTGTTTCAGTAAATTCTCCGACACTCATCCTGCCCGACAAACCACAAGCACTTTGTGAGGCCAAACCTCACGAAACAGCCCGATCGAAATTCCATGTTAAAGGAAAAACAACCAGAGGACAAACTTCGGAACATGCCACAAAGCCGTCAACTCTGACGTTGCTAGACGTCAATGGATGTTTGCCGGGCCAATAGATGGGGCGATATCCAGACCATGGGTTTCTTACAGTAATCAGAGAACGAAATATTTGAAACATGCAAACCACAGGGTTAAGCATCTCCGTGGTCGATATTATCCCCAAAGGAAAATGGTCCTGTTGTTGGCCTGTAAGCTTTCAGAGTAGACTGTTTGGTGCAAAAACGCAAGTAGGTGTGAGATAACAACTTCGTCCTGAAGACGATAATTGATGCATGATCAATAAGAGCTTGGAAATAGGTGTAAGGACAAGTAGTAGCAAAGAGGACAAGCTTGAGAATCAGGTCAGATCATACACTTGTGCTCAGCTCCCAGTAAGTGCTCAGGCAGGTAGGTAGATACAACTGAGGAGAAACTGCAACATTTCTGGGTCCGTTTCGTCTACGAGATATGAAGGTACTACCTATATCCTCGTGTATTCAAACAGGATAACGGTTCAACGTACCTCCGTACTGTAAGAACATCCCCGCATTGGCTTTCACCCTCCCCTTCGAACAAAGGAACACCTCCACAGAAATCAGGTGAGAGGGAAACTGGATCTTGAGGATGTAGATTCGCACTCAAATTCACTGAATTTGGTGCCCCGTGATGCACAGCCACAAGGTGTAACTAGACTGTTTGTGACAAGATCATAGTCCAGGTCATTGTAAAGGAACTGTGAGCTGACATCTCAAGAGTAGCATATAGACTGCAAACTATTGTCTCCCAGACATAAGGCACAAAGGAAAATTCAAGAACAACTTGGAGTTGGCTTCTGTGAGCTCACAAAAGTTTGGAAGCATATTGCTTCTCGTCTGAAAAGATTTCCCCCAAAGAGGTGGCCTGACTCGTCGCATTGAGCAATCGATCTTCTTGTCGGACAGGCACATGATTTGATATCATATGGTGGAAAGTTGGTACTCGTTACTTGCAAAAAGATGACGACTGATGACTCATGGAACATTCATGATGGAGGTTTCATCCATAAAGAGAGCGCACAACATCATTGAGAGATTTCATTGTAGCACTTGTACATAAGATCTAGGCACCCGTCTCAGTAGGAGTTACTGACACGGCTTCGGCAAGCCCACATTGATGGCAGCTCAACATCTAAAGAGCTACATAACAACGAACCGAATGTGCCTACAAAATTGCAAAAGGTTCACTATACACTGGCATTCCTACAACAAGTCAAAAGAAGTAAACTGTAAAACCTAAAAAAGCCCTCATAACCCTATCCACTACTTGCAAGCCAATGCAAAATACAAAGAACTTATAACGAGCCTCCCAGTTTGGGCTCTGGTTCTGTTCTCAAAGGCCATGCATTGGCCAACATCTTTCAAGAACACGGCTTAATCATTGGCCTAAGTGGATTCTCGATGGAATGGCATAAATACAATCAAGTTGTGCAGGGCGTGAAGGCTCGTACGAGTGATCAAAATCTTCAGCAACTCCCTTAATCACCTAAGTAAGGAGGCGGCCCAAGAAAGAGTAGCAACAGGGCATCTCGGCAACTCCTCAAAGAGGAAGCAAGTCCACATTTGTCAAGCTTGGGAAGGATGGGCTTCGACGGCCGGGCTCTTAAAATCCGCAGAGTTATGGCTTGGGCTGCAGCCTCAGGTGTGGTCTGGCTCCAGGCTTCAAGTCTGCGGCTGTTCGGGAAATAGAATGGGAGAAAGGCACAAAGGAAAGTAATTGTATCAGCAGGCCTGCCCGGAACCAATATGAGTTAGGGCAATTAGCAGGCTAAGTACTTGATCTGCAAAACAGTAATATGGATATCACGGAACAACGTGCAATCTTCCTATCGCCTACACAACAATCATACAAAGACAACACAGCGATGCATGCTCCAGGATAGAGTCTTTGTATATACTTGACAGTCCTATCTCCTGTCCGTTTCGAGCTGGAGGACTCACCTGTTCAGACCTTGTTTACCCAGGGTAAGGGCCTAACGAAGATGATTGGCCACTTAAAATAAAAGCCTGGAGGAGACTTTGCGCGGCGTGAGTTTGTTCTGGGGTTCCAGATATCTCAACAATCCTTTCAGATAAACCGGGCCGAACATCGTGCAATTTCACTTTAGCCCCAGATATCTGCGATTAAAATCTGTCAGTTTCCATACTAGAGGCTTCATACTGAGATCATTACAGCCTTCCTTTCCTTGGTGGTAGATTGACATATATACGCATCTCTGCTGTTTGTTGCTACACGAGCGAAAACATCAGTGACCGAACGCTTCCCTGAAGAACACTGAGAATCAAGTGGAAGTACAGAAAGGACATCACGAGTAAGGCAAATAAATCACCTGTCGGATCTGGGCGATGTTGCTTCCTGACTTCCCAATAATTGATCCAACGGCACCATTCGGTATGACGACTTCGACAGTCGTATTCGTCACGAGTCCTCCGCTTGACCTTCCACCACTGCACATCCAAGAGAACATAAACTACTCCTGAGAACAAGAGCAGACAAACATCGCAAAAAACGGGAGCCAGAAAGCTTAAATAGGACGAACTCTTATGAGTACTGTGATTCATACCCGCCGTATCTGCCGGACCCACTCTGATGGGAGGACGCACCACCATAACCCGAAAGACTTCCACCTCCAGCGTTGCTACCACCGCCCTGAATCGACCGTTATAAAGTTAGGCAAATAGAAATAGTAATTAAATACCAGTCGTAGAAACTAAACGAGTACAAAACTATTAATTTTACACGTGGTTCGTGCACTCAATGAGATATCCCATACCTGAAGGCCCCACGATCCTGGAGAGGAACTCATATTTTGGTACGATGATCCTCTTCCGCTTTGTTGTAGCCCAAGACCAGACAGCGACGAATACATTCCTCCGGGAGACCCGGGTTCGTGTCTACCCCCGTACCCAGACGACAAAGGTACGCTACTTTGAAGTCCTAGACCTGACATGGAGGATGGAAATGCGCCACTAGAACCTGAACCAGACTTTTCCCTGTAAAGATTACTCCTTAGGCGTGTGGTAATCTGTATCAAAGCTTCTCGTGCAACACGGATATCACCAACGATCTGAAAAGATATGGTTTACGTCAGACTCAAAATAGATGAAAGAAAAAATATGTCTTCAGGAGAAAATGAGCTCAAGACCTTCCTGATCTTCATCAAATACAATGGCACAATGAGTCGAGCAGCACTGGACAGGAGACTTGCGTTCAACGGAGAGCCATAAACGAACAGACATTGTTAAGACAGACAAAACAGCACTGCGTTCTTATATTATCACACCTCATAACTTCCTCACAACCTGAACAGAAGAACTGACTAATAATGCAACCTCGAAGTTCCAAGAGTTTAGTACAAGACTCAGCGATCGTTCGCGATTCGATCCGCAAGTACCCTTGCAACTAGCTTTTGAGTCGTAGAATCTCACCTGGACGAGTTCATCGGTTTCCAGAGCGCATCTCGGTAGCTGGTCTTTGGCGAGTATACGAATATTAGCACGGGTAGCTTTCCTCATGTCTGCGATGATGCTACCACCCCTTCCGAGGAGGCATCCAATTTGGTTGGAAGGGACGAGCAATCTTGTAGTGATGACTCCATCTTGGTCAGAACCCAAATCCACTATCCTGCTCTGTACGTGCAATACTGCTTCCTGTGCCGGGGAGATGTTGTCGTCTGGGTGCTGGAGATACCATAAGATAGCATAAGATAACAAGAACGATAATTTTGACATAAGCAAGGCTAAAGAGTATGACATCACTCCCCACCCTATCCTGAAAATATATCCAAGTCGAAAAAGTGTATACTAGGGAACGTAAATTGAGCTCCTAAATTGGCCAACAAGTGTCCCTAAAAAAACTGTTGATTTCCACATGCTTCAAAGACAACACGAACTTTCGGACCAAAAAAAATAGAAAGGAGACTCTTCAATAAATACTACCAATAAACCTCGATAAAATATAATCGACGCAGAGAAGGATTTTGATCGGTAGAAGAACAATCATTGTAACTACAGCCTCAACACGCGATACAAAAGAATAACCTACTATGTGGAAAACGAAGGGAGATTCATTTGAATTAACCATGGACTACAGCCAGACCCATTACTGGTTTTTAAATACCTCGTTAGCAGAAATAATTATAACACGCTCGTCTGAGCCTGGAATTGGATCGGCAACTTTGATACGCGCACCGGTGTCCTCTCGGAGATTGCGGATTATACTCCCTCCTTTACCAATAACGCTCCCAATTTTCTCGTTCGGACACAAGATGCGAAAAACCAGCTCTTCGTCCACCGGAGGATGGCGACCCAGGTGTGAGGCACCAGAGTCTGGAAGCACTGGTAAAGCTTGAGAGTTGAAAGGGAAACCTCCACCACCGCCTCCGCCACCCAACCCTGAAAGCGATGGTCCGAGTCCTAGAAGGGGTCCACCCTGCCCAAGGAGTGTGTTTCCTGGGGGGAGGAAGGTGTCTCCAGCTAATATACCACCTCCCGGAGGATACATGCCCGACCCATGCATTGCACCCCCCATTCCTCCTGGACGCTCTCTGGGAGGGTTCTCCTTTAACCGAGTGGATATAGCGTGCAATGCTTTCTTCACAACAGACAGCTCACCAAAGATCTGTAAAATTTACAAACAACAAGAGTTATGAAAAAGGCCGTAAATTTGAGTAACTTGGTTTCCTTCTTCTATGGATAGGAAGCTATTCTTTCAGATAATAAGCGACGATAGAACCTCCCAACACCAAAGGACTGGAAAGTTACAACTGTTAAGACTGAAGCTTTTACTAATTCACAGAACTTGTTCAATTCAATTCCATTTGCAAAGTTTTGAGTAGACTAGAATCTGGTACGGATATATAATCTTAAAAATCGGGTATAGCGTTACCAACTTTATCGGAAAGGTCGGGATTTGGGAGTACAGCATGCAAGGAGACATAGCTCTGAGGTGTAAAAGTAATATGACGAAATCCACCTCAGATTGTCTTTAAAGAAGGATTGTTGATAAACTCAGATCTTGCTAGGCGACGAAGGCAAAAGTGACAGCACTGTGCAGCAAAGTGAAGTGCTGCTTGCGGTCGGTAAAACTGTGATATTTCATCTGTACGAAGAAGGCTGTCCGGAACCGAATAATAACCATGTGCCAACAATTGAATTTCGCCATACCATGAGTCAAGAAGTGTCAAGTACAGCCAAAGATAACAGCAGGTGTCCATACAAGTTGTGGAATTGTGAAGAGCATGAGGCAAGCAGAACACTGACGGTGAGAGAGTTCTTCTGGATGCTCCCTTTACTGTTTTACTTGGGCTGTGCGAAAGCTATGAGGAGAAAAAAAACAGCCTTCGGGAGTTCGGCGTAAGTTGGAACTGGAACAAAACTAGCGCTTTCAAGTAGCATAACTTATGCTACATAAGTTATGCAAGCATGGTTATATTAGTCGGTCGCCTAAATTACCTAAATTAGCTTAATTTAGTCGCATCAAGAAAGTTAATTTAGGCGCTTTTGTGATAAAAGCCGCCTTTAAGTGCACTTGAATGAGGGGTTCGGAGAGAGAGTCACCATCACTAGTGGCTTGCAGTCCGGTTGTGAGGCTCGTGGGCGAAACAAAAATTAATTTACAACCTCCAGATTATGACCTCGGTGAGCTATGATACTGACGTGGTTCCAAACTGATTAACAATCATCACACCATATTGGCTGAGATCTCCCACGTGTCATTTCTGAGCCAATTACAGTCAAGATGCTCGGTTAATTTAGGCGCTAGAGAGAGCGTCAATTTAGGTAATTTAGGCGCCTGGGTATACGGTCGCCTAAAATATCCCATGCGGCATAAGTGAAAAAGTACAAATAATGCCGAAATAAGACTCGGCAACCGTAATAGAACGCTAGGTATCCAAACAGTTTACAATTATCAGTGATTGAAACTCTCAAAAAGGATCATAGGGTAGCATATGATACATTGACGGCTAGCATGTGAGGCAGAGCTCTCCGGGAGTCGCTGCAACGGAAGTCGAATGTGCCAAAAGCGTTCTAGGGGAAAAACGTTTTAAAATGTTACTTCGCCTTCCACTAATTCCACAAGATTTACAATAAGTTCCACTGAGATTTTTATCAGTGAGAGACCGTCACTGCAAGAATAGTAATTTGTTGGCTGATCCTGGGATTTACGCACAATGCAAATGATTCACTAAGCTTCACGTGGGGAGAACAACATTGGGTCTAAGTGTGTATCTGTCTGCTCTGATAAACTACAATGTCTGCGGCGCGCATGATGAGTTCAACATTCAAACATTTAACTGTAAGGGGTACAGCGTTACAGAAATTTAATCATGGCGCATTGGGGCATGTCACAGTTTACTTATCAAGCTGTTCCAGGTTCCAAGAGCGGCTCAGCATACACTTCACAATGAAAATGTGCAGCCTGAATTGCGAGTATCAAAAGGGAGAAACTTTCATGGTTTGTTCGCACAGAAAGAGTGGTGTACATCGCCTGGCTCCCTGCCTAAATGTTAACAGACCCTCCATAGGTAAATCTCCCTGGCAAGTCACAGATTTCAGACGACAACGGACCAAGTTTTCGTTCGGAGAGGAAGTCGAACTTTGAAAGCCTTGAAAAATGTTTCGCTCCACGTTTTCCAGTGTCTTTATCAACATTACGGCTTCCCGCTCTAAACCAAAAAGAAAAAAAAACAGACTGCACACCGACGCGACGAGAAAGTGACAGCCAGGTGCTCACCTGGACAAGCTCGTCAGAAGGCAAGGCGCAACCCGGTAGCTGTTCTTTAGGTAGTATTCTGATCTGCGCACCGGTTTCATCGCGCATTTGTTCGATAATCTTGCCACCCTTACCAAGCAAGCAGCCAATCTGATTATTTGGAACTAACAAACGAGTTGTGACCAAACTTGGTCCCCCGTCCTCGTCTTCCTCGTCGGATCCATTGCTTCCTTCACCGTCCACAATTCTGCCGTGAACTCTGAATAGAGCTTCTTGGGCCGGTGACTGGTTCTCCCTATCTCTGGGTTCAGCGCCCTCTCTTTCCCTGACATCTCTTTCGCGCTCCCTGCCTTCCCTTTCCCTACCACCGCTTCCTCCATCTCGTTCTCTGGAGACACCATCCCTCTCACGACCTTCACGATCCCTTGCCCTATCCCTATCCCTTCCGCGTTCTCGATCTCTGTCCGAGGCCGAGATGATAATCACTCTCTCGTCCACGCCTGGAACTGCGTCCGCAATTTTTATCCTGGCACCAGTCTCCTGCCTTAGAGCTTTGATGATACTTCCTTGTTTGCCAATGACGCTTCCTGTTTTCGATCCCGGGCAGAGGATCCTAAACACGGTCTCATCCTGAATAGGCTTCATAGGAGGAGGAGGTCCACGAGAATGCGACGACTGATGACGCTTGTGTCTTCCGTTAGACTCCAGAGAATCGCGCTCGTAGTGAGAGTGGGGGCGTTTAGCTGGAGAGATGAAGTAAGAAGGCGCGTCCATGGGAAGGGAGGAGGCACTTCCAGAAAATCGTCAGAAAAAGGACTTCTTCCGGGGCAGGAAGACCGAGGCACCGAGCGCAACCCAACACTCGTCGACGTAGCGATAGCCTCCTGGCCACCAGTGCACAATGAGGCACCTTCTTCAACTGATTGAAAAATTAAGCACGAGCTTAGTTTCCCACTCTCCGGAGGCCAAACAACAGTAAGGGACAAATTTCCTTTTGCGAAGAGACGGAACGCGAGGTTCTACGACACCCGAGGGCACTTTCTCAACTCGGCAATTACTGCTCCCCAGACACGTCCCTTTCGCCCCAGGGGCCGACACTAAATCACACTCTCGCTTGCTGTAAATGTAAATTTCAAACTCTCCTGAACCCACAGCGCCGACTACAAATTGAGCACGCCTCCGCCCCCGCCGCAAATCAGACTCCCTCCCTACCTCCCTCCCTCCCTGCCTGCCTTTTGAGCAAACGCCCCAATATCCCGCCCAAAACCTCACCACTACTCACTCGTCTCGTCTCGTCTCTTCTCTCCTCTCCTCTCCTCTTCGTGCGACTCGGCTCCGAGGTTCAAGATCCACTCGCGACGACTGAGAGACAATACCACCCCCCACCCCGTGGCACGAGCAGCCCACAATCCCGACTCAAACGAAAGTTCGCCGCTAAATTCCTCGCGAGTCCGGCTTCAGCCTTCACTACCTTCCATGAGCAGCAGAAAGAAAAACTGCATGGCCCCCTGCTCGCATTCTTATGATCACTCGCCCACAATCGCAGGTCGCTCCGATATCCGGTACTCGCTCGCTCGCTCTCTCTCTCTCTCTGGGTCCGTGCCTCTCTCTCTCTCTATCTTTCCCTCCCTCGCCCTCTCCCGCGCTGTCTATCTGACTCTGTCTCTCTCTTCCCCCTGCTGCCTCCCTCCCTCCCTCGCTCGCTCGCTCGCTATCTCGCCGCCTCGTGCCGCAGGCCCGTTAGCCTTCTTCCTTCAAACGTTCGTTCCTTCGTTCCTTACGACGACGGCCTTCGTGATTCCGCCTGCGCTGCGATGGGGCGATGGGATGCAGAGGCCGGGCCGGGCTGTTCCGTCACTTAGGGCATTGCGAATGTCGACCTCGACCTCTCCTCGTTCCGCAGAAGAAGAAGATAGACAATCGACAATCTGCGCCGCTGGCCGCCGTCCGATTCGGGAATCTTTTCGGCTCCGCTCGCGGCCTTCCCGGGGCCTTCCCGTTCCGCCTTCGCACTTCCCTCCCTCCTCTTCTCGCTTTCCCCCTTCCCCCTTCGCCCTCCCCGTTCCGCCTCCGCCCGACGCCCTGCGCCACCGCGTTCGCTCGCCTCGACGTGGTGACTGCTCGCGTTCGGGGGTTTACGTCGTCGCCGCTTCTGCGACTCCGCAACCCTATCGCGTCCCCCGCCGGTCTTTTATTCCGGTCTGCGACACTTGCAGCGATAAGAAGGAACGAAGCCGAACGAACAGAACCAAATGGATAGCGAAAAATGTAAGAAGACCGCTGAAGAAGATCCTTCATCGAACTCGAACCGACCGTCTCTACTATTCTGATATAGTAGGGAGAGATATTTCGTGCATTATCCAATATCTCTCAATAACATGAATATCTTATGGAATAAAATTTTATTTGATATTAACTTGTTGACATCCAACATGACTAATTTCACAACATGGTAGAACTCTCACGTACTGCACACCCCTTCATCATGTTCCAATTCAAGTTTCGGGTTAGTTACAACCTAAACAATATCACAATGTAGGGATGCTTACGGCTATCCAGCTAATATTTCGTCTTAGTCAGCTAGCAGGTTATACATCCGGCTAGGCGTGGTCTTACCGGCTCACAAAAGCTTTTTATAATATCAATGGATTTGTTTCATGCAAGGAATTGTTTCAGAATTATTTTTGGATTCTGCTACCGCAATAGCATCTTGATCCAAAAACGCAGAGTTGGACTTCATCAAATACCACATGAACATTAATGTGTCGCTTGCAACAAAGTCCAATCGTGTATCGCATTTGCAACTTAGTATTACTCACCACAAGACTGCATCTTCGCATGATTCATAGCCCGTCTTGGTGAAGTGCAAAAAATACATGTTCATCTTGTTCAATGTAAACTCAGGAGCGCTTGCTCTACAATCAGTGATAAGCATGCTTCTTATTATATTTTTAATTGTAGAAGAGGTAGCATGTTCATTTGTGACCTCCATACCACCCTATTGCAATAAGATTTTTCGAAGCTGTGGACCTATTTCTTCATCGGTATTTGGGTCCGCAAAATCAAGAAATAGTGCAAGCATTGATATCAGTCCAGTCAAATGTTATTGATGCTTTTTTAAATTTGTCATCAACGCTTTTGCGACGTACTTCAACTTTGATGTGGAGAAACCGGTACTCAGCATACCATAATTGATTTCTTGGCAATGCACATTGAGATATTCATAAATCAAATAGTAATCTAATAATCTTCTAGATAAAATAATCATTTCATAGGCAAAGCAACAAGTCTTTTAAGTACTTAAGTGCTCTCCTTTCAATCAAGCTCAAAATTACAATCTTACCACAGTGCTTGTACATATTGGACAAAAATTGGAAAGTGTTTTAAAGCTTGTATGACGAATCAATCATTATGAACATGGTATTCCACCGGTTTTTAAAATCAAGTACTAGTGATTCTTCGTTCCTATAAGAACTATGACATTTTTGAAATCATCTCTTTGTCAAAATGATGAATGTATTGTTTTGAGCATTGCGTGAAGTATCTCCATTATTGGGTGATGATTGCTTCACAGTTAATTTCACGATCCATGATAAAACACACACAACAATGTACTGTGAATGTTGTAATGCAAAAACCATTTGACTAGCATAATCTATCCTTGTAGCAAAAATATTTGGGTACAAATTAGTACAACATTCAAGATTCAACTATCCAATTTAACCTAATGACAAAGTAACTTTTCATTGTTCTTATGAATCATTCATCTCGAGTAATTACAACTTTTTTAGAATCAATTCCATGATTTTGCAAAATTATTTGATGAATCATTTAATTATTTGATCCATCATTTGATTAATGAATCATTTGTCGCAAGTAATTACAACTCTTATTGAAATCAATTCATTGAGTATGCAAAACAATTTGATTGCGGCAATCATCTTGTCAACTATGGTTCATGTAAATTTTTAGCGTGAACAGCCAGACCAAAAATAATTTAGAGTGCTTATCATCTGTCTAAACAATTTAGAGCTTTTTGTTAGTCAATGAAAAGCTCTACTTTGTGTCAATCACATAATTTATCACGTTCGTCATGATTTTTTACTTTGACTCCTCATTGAAAACGTTTGCACTTCCAAATACAAATTGTATTTTGATAAGATGACTTAAAACATATCATGTGGCAATGCGTCTTCAAGTGATTCACAAGTGATACGATGATTGTATCTTCAAATGAAGAACAAGATTTGATGTCTTCAAGAAACTTAAATAGATATTTGAACACAACTTGCTCGCAACGCAAAAGAGTCGATCGAATCCTGTTTCATTTACAAAGTATGAACAAACTCATGAGTTTTGCTTCCGTTTTTTGTGTGTTGATTCGTGGAAGTACTAACACATACGATGATGATAAGGATAAAACAAAAATGTCATAGTTCTTGGAAATTTTCATCCATTGATATCAACACAAACATGATCCAATATTTCAAAAATTCAAGCTCTCACTATCAACCTTTCACAAATCTGCAAACGTCGTCGCAGATTTGCCATTATATTGGAGTAGCCAACGGCTAGTTGGTTAAATTTGAGTCTCTTAACAACTATTAAACTATCACAATGAACAATTTCTATGAAACACACGAACAAAACTTTGTCCAACAAAGCTCTTGAAACGTTCACAAACTCTCTTGAGATAGTCTCAATGAAACTTTAAAATGCATCAACAAGCTTTTCAAAAATGTAAGTTATTGAGGATCAAAGAGCTTTCAAAACAAAATCTGTAGAAAAATCAACGAGTTCATAATTTTGATAGATGCAACAAACTTTTGCATCAATAAAAGCAACAATAGAAAAAAGTCAAAAGAAACAAACTTAACTTCAATTTATCAATGTTAGTATGTTCATGAAAATTTTTATTACTCCATTGACTTTTCTCAATTTTATTTCATCACGATCAAGAATTGATCTCATTGTATCACATTTTATAAATGTGATGGACGAGATACATTGTATAACTGTTTGTTTTATGATCTTGCTATAAATCTATCGTTGAAATGATGCATTTTTAGCATATTCATTTATAATTACACAAGCATTTGCATAATGGTTTAAAAATGTGTCTGAAGAATGAGACATTTTTCTTATAACAATGTAAAGCTTATTAAAAAATACATTTGGATTTCATTTTGATAGAATAGATAATTGCATTACAAATTCAATATACTTTGTTTTGTTTTTAATAATGTGCCATGTGTAACATCATTTGATAAATAAATAAAATATTAGATAAAAAATTGAAAATCAAAATCATAGTATATTAAGCTTATTTCCGCTAGCCAACGATACTACCTTCAATATCAAACAAATCTAAAAGTAAAACTATTTAATCTAACTCATCTACAATGTTTTTTCAAGTTGAACGGAAGTATTCTAACGGAGAAACCGTAGCCTCATGGCCAAATTACTACCTTAAGAGTACTTGGCACGATAAGTAAAATACTTCCGTCACACTACAATCATCAACTATAGTATTACAAGAATTTGCATTGGAACATGAATGTTAGTGTACTATAATGCGGTTTGAGAATACCATCTACTAAAATGAATGGTGTTGTCTCAACAAGTGACTTTGCGTTTTGCAACATTTACATCAACTAATAGTAAATAGTTACATTTTTTGTGACATACAAAAAAATCAAAATTCTTAATGATATAAGTTTCTATGTTGATATTTATTTAAATATTTTTTGTAAATAATTTAAAAGTCATGAGCAAGTTAAATAAGTTTGTGTGAATTAATATTTTTTATAGTAATTAATTGATTTTGATTCACAATCCTACTTTCAATCTAACAAAAAATAATGATAAACTTTTTTATTTGGATTTAATGTTAAGATCTCATATTTTATTTTGAACTTCAAAAAATTATATTCAAGACAATACACATTTGAGTTTCATGATTGAAATTGGTAATTGAAAATAATATGGTATAATCAAAATAGCACTGAAATTAATCATTAATAAAACCCCCAAAAATGAAACTTCTTGTTTTTATTTATAAATTGATAAAATTACATATTAAAGAATGAAATAGCTATATTTTGTTCATATTGTGTTTGAAAAATAAAAAAAATAATTTTTGTAAACATAAGTTTTAGGCTAGAAAGGGAAATATTTTTTTGAATTGTAATTTTTTTATAAACTCACTATTGACAATGATGATATGAGTTTGATGTTATTAACAATATTCATCAGAATTTGTACACAATCAAGTGAAGCAAAGCATTTTTGACAAAATCAATGAACAAAAATTTGAATGCATTAAGATGCATTGTATTAATTTGAACACAATAAATCACAAAAATATGTAAAAGCAGACATAAATAAAAAAATCATATAAAATATTTTTTAATCTTGTGGCATAATTTCATATTGAAGTAAATTTTACTAATCTAAAATCTAAATCTAAAAATGTACTGTAATCAAATATAATGATGAAGAGAATGACTTTACTATTTTAGGTGAGGATGTTAAAAAGTTCATTGTAGAAGTACCATGAATCATTGACAAAAAATCAAAAATATAAAAATTTTTCTATTGAAATAGCCATTTTTTGTAAAACATTACTTTAAGTATAGTAATTTGATGGACAAAGTAATGTGCAACACTCTTTAGACATCATAAGATTTACTTCAACTCATATACTAAAAAGATCTAGAGCCTTATGTGATTCAGAAGTAATAGATAATTATCTTTGAAATATTCATAAAAAAAAGATTGAATGATATGAAAAGCTTGTTAAATAAATAATGCAAAATAATGAAATCTTACCACACAAAATATTGCATTTTCGGATTGTGAACTAGATATGAAATTCTTAAGTTTTTATGAAGAAAAATGACACTTTATAAAAAGCGGTGTAATGGTGAATTATAAACATGATGCAAAGACTTATCAATCAAATAACTTATGATTGAGATTATTGAACCTGGATAGTTTGCGCTTGTTCTGAAGTTCCATATTGTCAAATCAATGTACAGTATTGTAATTGTTAAAATTGTTCAAGAACTCATTATTTCATACAGACTTAGATGATGAGTTTTGTATGCACTAGCTAGGTATAATTCTTAATAAAAAGTTTGTTTGCAAAAGTAAAAATGTGTTATATGACTTAAATTGACTTCCAAGATAATGACTTATAAATGTTGACGGTTTCAAGTAGAAGAAATATGTTCATATATATTTTATACATTGAGCATGTATATGTGAAATTATGTTATAACAACTTTATGTTGATAAATTGCTAGTTATATGTTCACATCTGAATGGTTTTAAATGCTTGATGATGTAGCTGTTAACAGAATTTGCCATGATTGTTTGTATCCAACAAAGAGTATTTCAAGTATGCAATTACAAGAGATGAGCATAGAAGGATTTTGTAGTTAGGATTTAGGGTTCCATCAAAAGTGTTTTGTAGATATTCAGATTCTATATGCAATTGACATAGAAAGAACATTAACAACAACGGTTGTCCAAAAATGTAGAGACTCTTGTGTCCATTTTCTCATACTTATGTTATTAGTATGTCTAGCTTTGTTCAAGCTATGTTCATATCTTACCTAAGCTTTATCTTTCCTCTTTTTTATAATCTCAATGTGTGTAAATGGAACTCTCACTTTTGCTATATTACTTGACTCCCTTCGTTTGTTATTTGAGACGAGATAAATTGTTCTAGATGTCCTATAGTCTATCAATCTTTGATCATCTGTTTTAGAACACATCCTTCCCGTTGTTTTCATCCTTCTTGACATGTGTTCCCAAACAACTAAAGCTTCTTTGGCATAGATGTATGTCTTTGTAGATATTGTGGATGTTCACTCTACTTTCACACACAAGATACAGTTGTGAAATATATCATTTTTCATCATATATATCATTCATCATGATGGGAGTATTCAAAGGTCAATAGCAGGAGCTGACATATGTACCTCTGTGATGAATTGATTAGGAATAGCCGCGGGTCACATTCGAACAGATTTTGGAAATTTCATCTTTATGTTGAAGCTAAGAGATGAAGCAAACATGATATCATATTCATCAACTAGTTTTTGTTTCTATGTTTGAACATTACTTGTGTATAGAACATGACAAGTGATAAAAATCCTCTTTTAATCAGGGCATTTGTAACCAGTGAGTAAAGATATATTGCCAAAAATTTGTCAGTACTATTGAATACATGAACTAGAATTATTGATATGCGACTCAACTTTTTTCATTTTATAGGCCACACACTTTTGCATACTTATTATGCCATTCCGATGAATGATTTTTGTGATTTTAAATATCGATTATTGAATGGAAGATATACATCTCTTTGTTAGAAACAAAAGTCTGGTAACAACACTTCCCATGAAATGTACTAAGCTCATGTTTTCATTGATTATAGCTTGTGCGTATTTTCAATTTTATGAAATTATAATATGTTTTATTTATTTGGATTAAATTATATCATAAATTTAAAGAAATATTTTCAATTTTTTGGTATTCATCAATATGATTTTTATCTATATTCTTGAATATGACAGGTAAAAATAATTAAAAACTTGATTTGAATATTCGTACCCTTTCAAAATATATTTTAACGCACAAGTTTCTGTTTCTAAAAACCAAGTGATTTTCAGATATTTTATAAATATTCTTATTTCAAATCATACAACGTTTTATTTTAGTTTTTATCAATTTTCGGTTATCAGCTTCCTGTGGCCTAAGAGAGTACATGGTGAAGATGTGGATGATAAAATCTTAAGAGGTTGTCAATTACTCTTCCATTTATTAATCATGATAAATGTAACCTCTGAATTATAAATTATAAACTAATTTCCTGTTTTAAGAAGAAGGAAGGTGTTAATTATATGTAATACATTATATGAATATGATATTTAATAGTGCAAACTGTGGCAACATCTTCAACGATGACAAATAGTTTTGCATTTCAATAAACGACTAGATAGTCTTTAAGGTCATATTACAAATTAAAAGTAACATGATTTTTTATTAGATAGAAAAAAATACATTTGTTACATGAAACCAAGCCAAATTTATTTAATAAGATTAAAAATATTAAAAATAAGAATAAATAGAAAATTAAATAAAAAATATTTATTATAGATATAAATATTTGTGCGCCACATGGCAGTGAGCCAGTGCAAATTTTTATATAAAATATTTCATCAATTATATACAATTTTTTTTTCAGATTGCACAGAATGTACTAAAGTATCATCTCCAGACATAAAAAGCATGTTTTAAAAATTTAGAAGTAACCAAGAAAATATTGGATTGAGTATCACTTGATCAACCATAAGTATTCGGACAGATGCAAGCTCCGTACGTCCTGCCTAGGATGATGTATCACAATGTAATTTTAGGGTGTGACTACACGAATGTCGCTTGACCTACCATCACATGAATAATAGTTTATATACAGACAATGACGTTACACTATTAATACATTGACGTATAAAGATGGACAAAGTCTAACATCACCTAAGATTACAAGAAATGGTCAACACTCTAGTTAGTTTGTTACCAATTTCGATTAGTAACAATCAAATATCTTGCAGCCAATCGAAATTGGCTGCAAGATAATTTTCATGACTCCAACCTGAAGCTTGCTGAAAATAAAATGAATGTAAAATTTTGTACCGAGAACAAGATGGGCTAGCAAGATTCTACCGTCAAACTGAATCCATCTTTGTCTGAACATGAAGGGGCAAAAGTCCAGAACGGGCCGAAGGAATGATCTTACAATAGGCATGCAACTAAATATACATGGAGTCTTATTGCTTCACAAAAAATCATGGAAGACCCCATCAAGTCGTACATGTATGAAACCAAAAGATGAAATAAAAATACAATGGCGACGCAAATTTATTTTCAACCTTCGAGGGATTCCGCTGCTGCCGGTATCAGGACACATGCGTGTTCGAATCAGGTGAAGCTTATGATTTTGGAGGCATCCTAGCCAACTTTACGAATTGGCCCACCATCAAAGTACTGCTGCGGATGATTATTGCACTATGCTCATGAATTGATTGGGTTATGCAATCATTTCAGGTTTGTGTTTAGATCCTTCGTGTTTGGGCAGTTCGGTGCTAAGTTAGAGGTCAATTTAATTTAATAAATCCTTCTGTTAGATCAGAAAATTACTTTCCATTATGGTTTCTATAGTGATGGAGATCGAGGATAGATTTTACAAGGTTCAGATGAGCCCACTCTCAGGTCAACAATAAACATCTGGGCGACTTCCTGCCATGACGCCATGCTCAAACTTAATGTTTTGATCCATTACCAGCTTTATGCTAGAGACAGCTAATTTCGGCACCAACCGACGAGACCAATCGGTCGCCGCTTTCTCTTAATGGACCAACGCCCTTAGTTTCAGTTGAAGACGTTGGAAGCAGTTGGCACCGCTCGGACCGTGAAGCCACCGAAATGATAGAAATGAGCGCGTACAGGCCAGTTGATACTTTCACATGCCAATTAATACTTTTTCTTGCAAAGCAGTGTATTATCAATTCTCAGAAGTCAAGTAATTTCATGAGCACCAACGTTGATACCATATTCATCTAGAATTTTAGTCCTCAAAGGAGAAGAGTGGGAGAATCAAAATAGTCGTCGATGTGGAGGACTTATATTTCCCTGATGGTACTACATTTCGTGGGGTAGATAAATTAATTCCTGTAGATATTTATTTACCTCGATGTCCACCAGAAGCACTTATATAAGCTATGACAAAAAATTCGTAAAAAAATAGCTCAAGAAATATGTGAAGAAAAAAAATCCTGAAGAAAGGAAACAAATCTGGTTCGTTTTTAAAGGCGTACTCTGGACATCCGGAAAATCACCAATGGCAAGCTTGAACTATCCTAAAACCAGGCCTTGGTCACTTAATTGGAAACTGGTGCGCGGCGATCACAAGCAAAGCCCTGCATCAAATAAAGCCTCATCGGTTGCCTCCTTCAACGGGACGGTGAGGGGAGCGACCACCTGGTTACCACTCCGGTTTGTCCGACGGGTCCTCTCTTCGTCTCACGGGCAGCAGCCAAGCAGCTCTCCTATAAATAGGAGTGGCGGACGGTGAACCCGCGATCTCGCACCGTGCGACACCTGGCAGAGGGCGAACGCCGTCCGACGGATGACGTCGTCGTAGACCGAAGCGGTTGATGAACTGAACCGGTGGACGTAGTCCCGGGGCAGGGACTTGATATTAGTAATGTGCCGGAGTAGTTGCAAGGGCGGGGGCGGGGGTACGTAGAGCGGCTTCGGAGTGGGGGTCGATGAAACGATGGACGCTCTGGGGGGGGGGGACCAAGCGGGGTGGGGAGAGTTGTTGGAGTCACACCAACACGAGAGAGCAATCCGAAGAGTTCGAGGCCCTCTCTCTTCCCTACAGCGGGAGGAGGAAAGAGAGATGGACTTGAGGATTGCTGGCTAAGCCATGCAATGCCGACGGCGTGAGCCGCTGTGTTGTGGATCATCGCTGCCACCTTTTTCAGAGCAACACTCTCTCGACCCTCATGATAATTGATGATGGTAATGATGACGTTGCTCCAGGTTGACAAGCCCCCAGCCAGACGAAGGGAAGGGAAGGGAAGGGAAGAGCTGAGCACATCAGATCGTCAAACAGTTCACTTTCCTCCACTTTCTCCGGAGGCGGAGGAAGTCTTCGGTTTAAATAATGGCCGTATCACCTGAGGGCAACATGAACTCACGGAAAGCTTTGGAGGGCTACATCTACACCTCTGTTTGTCCCCATGAATATGACAGTCTTGCGAAGATCCAGATGAGGTAGCATGGTGCAATGAAGCACCATAATTTATACGGTGATAGGAAGGCCCCCAATTGGGATCAGCTGTATTCAAGGCAGATATCCACCTTAGGAGAAAGGTCATATATGTGGATAGTGGATGAGTTGGCCAGGCCGACGAGTTATACATCATTGCCTTTTATGAATTGGAGATGAGGTGGTCCCAGGTCCTGGAATCCAGGTCCCGTGTTGGGTTTTGCAACAAGGGAACGAAGCACAGCTCATCCATTACTGGGAAAAAAGTCTTCAGGTACGCTATCTTCAGGGTATTGATTGACCTTGCATGACTAGCTCAACGAGGCAAACAAACAGTGATGAGAAGGTGCTCTTCTCCAAGACCGCAATACATTCTACATACAGTACAGTGGCATACGATACGGAAAGCAGATTCACGTAGCACTACTGTACAGTAGTTACAGAATCTGATCACTTGACCAATACCTGTCGTACATGTCCAGCTGATATTTATATCTTCATCGTACATGTCAGTAGAATAAGTGGAATCGCATTCTTTAAGGTCAAATACTCAAGATGTGACAGCTTGAGTTCTTGGAAAGACACCAGAGTTATCTATATATATATCTGATATTCAAGGAATGGTTATTGTTTTGATGCAGATCCAGATAAGAGTTTCGGATCGAGGTAGGATGAAATGATATACGTATGCCATCCGTGGTACACGTGGTAGATAAGAATTATATAGTAACTGTAGAATGTAGATAGTTCAAGTCGTTGTCTTTGCATACGTTGCTCAGCATAGCAGTCACCATCCACGTGATGGATGAGGAGTTGAGGTGAAGTGCAATGAGAATCACCTCTGAACTGCTTGGTCTTCTGCTTGTGTAACTTCATCAAAAGATGTGAATAATTAATCAAAGCGTCTCTAGCTCTTACCATATAGCCACAAGACAAAATCGCCGCCTTGTTCCTCCTGTTAAACTTAGAAATGGCATCTCGAGCATGGAAACAGTGGCCTGGGATGGTTTAGTCAATTGCTGCAGATGTGACAATGTGTTGATATCGAGTATCACTTCCCGGCAAGCCTCGAATCATAATCAAAAGAAATTATCCATAATATCTTAAGTCAAGATGGAACTATATTCGAGCGAAGACATGCTGTAACATTTAGAGTTGAAAGTTGTAAGCTTCAATCACACCTGAAAAATACCTATCTGTAACCATAGAAGCCATCCATCCAATGTCATTTCATTCGAATTTTAACAGGACGTTGAAAGAGATACATGTGGCTTTACAAAATTACAGTATCTTCTCTGTACATATTTTCATATTAGTCAATGATAAAAACTACCGTAAGCAAATGCAATGAGAGTGCCTCTACATGCATCGCTAAAATGTACTCCGGTAGGGAGAAAAATGTTGATATTTACGCCCACTGACGGGGCCTAGCTATAGACTAATCAGACATTGTTGCAGGCTGTAGCTCCTCACAAAGGGGATGTGTCAACCGCCAGCCACGCGTTGTCTCTCCATGTCTGTTTTCATACAGAACCTGCGAATCATTTCCAGTTCCAATAGAGTCAGCATAACGAACATTGTCGTAGCCATATGAAGACCCCGAAATTCCACTGAAAGAAAGCCCATAGCCTGGATTCACTTAGATTATGTCAGAACTTCAATGCTCTTAAGCGCTCAAGCTACGTAAACTTGAACATAAAACTATATCAAACAGTAGTACTCACAACTTTCTGATCATCGCCGCCGCTACATATAAATTGGTCATCACGGGAGATAGCCACCTGGAGTTTTTTAAAAAAAGCAGCCAAATGTTACGACGACGAAGGCAAGCCATCATGCTGAATTGGCGAAAAGTACACAGCAGTGATACATTTCTAAAAAACAGTTTCTCAAGGTCTGAACGAATACACATATCAGCATGAGAAAGTGTACCACCTACCGTATTGATACATCGAGTATGACTCGTAAGAAGCCTCACACATGGCCTTCCCAATGTTATGTCCCACATTGCAATACTGCATATGCCAACTGTCTCAAGTCAGCACTCAAAGAAAGCACTCATGGAGCCACACGGTGCTCCATGAAGATGTGTTCAGAAACAGTAAAGCTTTCAAAAAACAGCAGCTGTCTGCACCAAGAGAACACAATCCCGAAGTGCGCTATATATATATATCACATGTATCACAAACCCTTCCAACCCTGGCAAAGAATGTTACATTGTCATTATTGCAGAACTGAAATCCATGCCAAGTCATTGTGATCGCTTGAAACTTCACGTACCTGCCATTTCCGCTTGCGGTTACAAGTACAGGGGCGCTCTGACACCATCGTGCATCATTCACACCTCCATCTCCTTCGTCCACATATCTGAAGCCGCATGAAGAAGCCATGCAACACATTACGTCTCCACATCCAATTTTTATTCTCTCACATAGACACAAGAAGATTGAGAGCTCATCATCTTGCAGACGTTGCATCAGCCAGTCATAAATCCAACGGTCAATCGAACCGGTTGTCTTTGTTGTGATCTATTCCGAGCCATGAACACAGCTCGTCTTAGTTCCTTGGATTATCGTAACAGACGTGTACTATGGCATCTCAATCTCCAGGGCTCCTAAACAAAAACTTCTTCCTGGTCAACCGCGCATGGGTTTGGATCTCTAAATTAACTTGACGGCAATTTTAAAGATGTAAAATGTTGCTGAAGAGGCAGATAACTCACCCGGGCAACTGGCCTGCATTTTGAGTCGTGGGCATGGGCTCACCATGACTTAGACAGTGCAGTGGTCTTGCTGTCCACATATTCGGTTTGGATACTGCTATAGGTCTCTCTCCAGGCCTTTCACCTCTGTCCATGGGCATCATGCGTGTATCCCACACCAGGGAATGATTCGCTGTGCTGGAGGAGTGGAAAAATGTACCGCAGGCACTGAATGCCACAGATGTTGCCTAGACATAGCCAAACTTTCTTAGCTAATATCTATATGAGTAAAACAGAGTATTTAACACACAAAGTATTCTGTTGACTTCTAACTATATGCTATCACGCATAACAGAGCTCAACAATGTAGCAGGAGTAAGCACAGGTAATTTAAGGTTTTCAAAAACGTACCAAATATCACATTTGCAAAAGAACCCTCAGGTGCATTCATGATCAATGGACGCTATATATAGGACCCAAACGGCTAATACTTCACGTCTTACGAGTCACCAATAATTCTCCGCCACTTGTCGAACTAATTTGCCAACTCACCTCGCAGCTTATACCCAATGGAAGACGAGAAATAGCACCTCCAGTTCTTAAATCAAAGAGACCTACAGTGCCATCCCCAGCACCTGCAGCAAGATTTTCTTCTTGGGTTAGAATGCATGTAAAATCTTGAAGACATACATGAGGTTTGAGCAGGATCAGAATGACGAAGTTCTATCGTTACACAGAATGTATCAAAACCTTCAAAATAATTATCTCCAGTCGTGAGCTCCCAAGCACATCTCATTACTGGATGCTAATATACCTGTAATGATTGTAGAGCCTGAGGGATCAGTGTTAAGACACGTGATATACTGCATATATAAGAAGATGTCAGATCATTTGCACATATATGGACATAAATGTGCCACGTCCTAAACATATGATGCTAAAAGAAAGTTCAAAGGGGAACACCCTTTGCTTTAAGTAGGAAGAAATTCAAACAATGAAACAAGATCCATTTCAGAACCCACTGAATCATTTGCAGGAAACGTCATTAGCTCTTTAAGAGCATCCACATCCCATATCTGAACAACTGCAGGTTGTGAATCTGCAGAGTCACTTCCACAAATGAGAAGGCTCTCATGGCAAAACTTCATCGCATCCATGGAAGGCAGATTGGATCTCAGTTGTCTGCAACACATCGCGATTCAGACAAATTAGTTTCAGGATATAAACTGCATAATGACATGTCTCACTAAGAGAAAAAACATGATCGAACTGAAAGTGACGATGAAGTAATCGCACTTAAGGATATCTCCTCGTTTATTATTTTTGAAAGAGGTCAGTAAAATTGTGATTCGCGCTCGTCCCACCTCATCTCTGCATTCAAATCGGATGCAAGTTCTCCAGTTCGAACGTTCCATAAAAGTAGCTCACTTTCGCCTTCCCCACCACTGGTAGCCACTAGGCCTGAAATCATTCTTACATTAATAATCACTTCAAAATCTGAACTTGAAGCACATATATATATATAATCTTTGGTAAGATCTGATTAGTCTGAGAATTTGTCTCCAACAAATGAGACAAGAAAGTAAACAACAACAAAAATCGAAATGAACAAAATACGTGAACGAGAGTGATGTAAGACAGATCGGAAGTCTGTAATATAGACATCCAAACGTCATCGTGATAGAGAGTGATGACCCGTATCACGTAAACCCTAAATAAATAACTCTATAAGTCGCACACAAAAGTCAGAGCCTTACAGGATTGTAAATGGTGCACGGACATTGCACTAATCTTCTTCTTATGTCCAGGAGTGCCGTCAGTATCTCCTGGACCCATCGTATGGAGACAAGCTCCAGATGAAGAGTCCCAAACCTGTCAAAGAGAACGGATTAGAATACTTGTGAGCTTTAAAAGATGTCATGCAATACACCGAACCTTCATGAAGAACTCAACCAACTCCTGCTTACTCTACGTTCCATTCTCATATCAACAGCCTTACCTTCACGATGTTTGTTCCACATGATATAATTCGTTCTCCATCCATGGCATACTCGACGGCTTGAATCTGGAACAACATATAACTGGTTAAACATTCGGCTTTCAAATTTACTAGGATAGTCATGTGTAAACAGTGCTCGTACTGCACTGCCTCCCTTAGGCTATTTATCTAGTCAAACGTGCAACGATATTTCTACAGAAAGGTACCTTCAAAGAGTTGTAACAGAGGCATGTTCAGATCGTTCGAAAACAAACCTACAAACCTGACAATTATGGCCAACTAGCTCTTTGGCTCTGCCGTTCACCAGATTGTAGGTCAGTAATTCATTCGGTGCCTGCCAGATGAACCACATGAAAATGAGAAAATGAGATAATGTTCCTCTAATACAGTATAATTACATCTAGGTACTCTACAATTCAAGCTCAAATGTGAGAGTTGGTAACATGGACCATAAGGTGGAGGCGGCAACTCACTGCATTGCAACTGCACACAAGTTGCGGCAATCCACCCGGATGCATTCTAATGTCCAACACTTTTTGCACTCCTTGCTGATGAACAATAAACCCATAAAATTAGACGGACACAGATGTCTTAATCAGTGAAAACAATAACTGGAAATGTCCAGGTGAAGGAGGATTGAAAGATCTGTGCAAGATTTTTTATCTGAACTACCTTACAGTGCTACACTGATTATCCCGTGTCTAATTTACAACCGAACGTTCACAATGTTTTGGTATTAGCTTTACAAATATCGAATTAGTCATTTTCATGCTTCTCTCAACTGAACGCAGAGCCTGTATTGTCAAGGCAGAGTGCATAGGCTGAGCCTTTCAAACTAGTGTTATAGCTGGTAATAATCATATCAACTTTGTCATTTTAGGAACTCTAAAATTGCCCGAAGCTGCAGACGTATGATTACTACTGAACAGGTCCAAGTTATCGTTTACAAATGTACAAGCTCAACACAGTTGTTAAACTTCTGAAATTCTCCACTCTTCTTACCAACCTATTCTCTAACGTACTACTAATATTGTGTATCTAGTAGAACCGGTTTCCAACCATGCTACAGACATTGTTCAAAACAATGTCTGTAGCATGAAAGGGCATAATGAGATCCAAACTAAAACAACTTTGTTGGAAACGCTGCTTAATAGTGTTATTTCAGATAGGGGACAACTTGCACTGATTCTCCACAACCCTCGTGGATTGGTATCTGTATCTTCAGACAGCCTCGGGGAAGATTATACTAAGTTAGAAAAGCTGGTTCAAAACAGACAATCATTATGACAGTCTTATAATAAGTTACGTCGTTTACGATAAAAAATAGCATGCAATGATCGGTAGTTTAGAGCTCCGCGAGATACAACCACGCAGGGGCTCTAATGATTGGCTTAAGTAGACCCGGCATATAAATGGCAGAGCATGGCATGGCAGACTTCAGAAGGGTCTTAGAGTGCAGTGCTTACGTCCACACGTTCTAAAGGTGCAAGGGCAACACTTGATGTATAAGCACACCAGGTCGCTCGGAAAGAGCTGTAAGCTTGTTGCTGCAACCATGCTATTGGCCCTTTGAACTGATTATCGAGAGCATCCCAACCTGCAAAACAATGTTTCAATCATATGCAAAACGAAGAGATCATGAGCCAATATATATATTAATAGAGGTTGTCAATAATATTAAAAAAGTTTTTTAAACTTACCTTGAACGTGAGTTGTCCATCTCCGACCATGAGTACCTACGTCAAGCGGCCGCACAGCTACTGTTTCTGAATTTCCACCACTTTCTCGTTCCAAAAGACACCTGAAGATATTAAGATTTTTGTGTCTGCAATTGGAAGAGGTGGACTCGGAAGCCCTTGCAGCGGGTGTTGCTCTCTCTTTCTTCTCCTCTTTGTTCGATAGGTCCACATCTACATCTGGAGTCATGAGACGATTTTCCACTCTATAAGATTGAGACTATGATTCCACTATTTAAGGAAAATGAGTCAATTTATGACAACAGGATAATATATTTATGTCATAGTAGACAAGAGGCTCATTCTGCATATATACAGAAACACGAAGATTTTTTTAAGGTAGAGTAGAAATTGTATTTAGATGCGCACAAGAGAATTTGGCACCAAGACACTGTGTTGAAGGATACTGATTCTTTCAGATCGTGAAAATTGCTCTTTTTTCCATAGAGACTTCTCGATATATATTTGAAATAGTATAGGCATTTGCTTATAATGTTGTTATATTCGAGAGTTTTACCACAAAGAAACTTTTCAAATGACGTTCATTACCTGGAAATGCACCACTGTAGGACCACGCATAAGACGTCACAGGATCTTGGATTCGCTTGGAAGATTGAACGCATTTCGCCCTTTCGAAGGGTTCATCAGGCCGTGTACCTGCTGTCTGTTTCTTCAGCTTATCCTCTTCGATCTGTTCTGCAAGTGCTTTGTGCAACTGACCAAGTCTGGCAATAATATAAAAATTATGATTTCAGTTATGAATTGCATGTGAATTCTCAATCATGTACTTGAAACAAATAACAAATCGTAACTCAATATTTCCTTTCATCATGCTTGACTCACAAGTAACCTTAAAATTAAACATATCTGCCCGCAATGCCCTCAAGACCATAGACCCTGCCCACTGGCTCAGGGTACTTGTATAACAGATGAAAAGAAATAAGGAGAGAAGGAGAGGGAGGCGAAAAAGGAGAGATTTTCTGAGGAAAAAGGAGAGATTTTCTCTCGTGATAGGATATCTTCCCAATGTGGACAAGATTCATTAGAAGCCTCGAAGCCTCGAAGCAAGAAAGCCTTCTCTGATTCACTTATCTGTAGAGTTTCTGGTCCCAAAAGACAAAAATCAAGAGGGCAATGCCTTCAATCTTTATCTGTTACATTTTCTATGATGGATTGTCACTTTGGATTTCTACTTTTGGCCATTAGCAATTAATAAGGCAAAATCAGTAAGTTTCAACCGCCATCTCTACCTTGAGAGCCGAGTTTCGGATTTTCTTGTATGTTTGTAAAGAACCAAGAGGAGTCAAATTGCGTACCGAGTGTCTATATGTTGGAAACGGTTATCTGTTGGAGTTACCACACTCCTGATTATTGAGTTGGTCTCAAATCAGGAGAGGGTGTTGTGTACCTCAAAGGGGAAGGGGAGTAACAGCAAGCTGTAGCTACACTCGAGGTGTCATACGGTATTAGTGAGAAATCTACAGTCCACCTTAGTCAATTGCAGCTGGTGCAAGAGTTCAGAAAATCAAGATTATAAATAACCATTTTCTGATGATCATATTTAAACTCCGTTGAAGCAATTATTATGATGTATTCTAGATGTAACATTACTAACTGATGACTCTCTTGGTGTAGCCATAGCTTGCTTCCACTCTCTTCACTAAACATTGAGATAAAACTAAGATAAAAAAATCCTAGATGGCACTTCCCACCCTGAATTGGACCAACTCCAAATTCAACTTGAGTGCTAACTTCACGCCACTTTCTGAGCAATCCAAAACTAATGACTGCTCGATTAATTTTCATTCTGAATTATGTTCTTTACAGATAGCCAGGTAACATATATTTATTCCATTACTCAAACTTCAGCCTCATTCCCTAACCTGAATACTAATGACTGAAACCTACATAAAACCTAACCCTATATGCAAGGAGAAACTGACTTCGAAAAAAATAACAATTTCATCGAAAGACAATTGAAGTTTTATGAATTTAGTATGACACCAACTCACAGTTCTAAGGTTCTCACGGCCTCTTCTCTAGACATTTGTGAATAGTCTCTTTTTCTTACAGACCGCGGACCTGCACAGCAAACAAAAAGTGTTTGCAAACTGAACACTTCGAAATATCTACATATACTTTGAAAGTTCGAGTATAGAGCAGGCCGAAATAGAGAATCATCATTTAGACAAAAGAAACAACTCAAATTCTCATCTACGGTGACCTTTGTAATGTGTGTAGGTCCACCTAGAACTTTCATTTCAACTACAGCCAGTGTTAGTAAAGGACAAACGCAACTGTGACTTATTCCAGTAAGATCTGGAATCTACTTACCAGAATGATGCTCGATGGTCTGCTTCCTTCGATCTGTAACAACTCTTCTTGTAGTATAACTAGTGAACCTTGCTTTCTTCTTCTTTCTGCGCTTGATCTTTAAAGCTGCAGATTGGCCCCTCCCAGCTTTATAAGTCTTTCTCAGATTTCCTTCCTTTGCTCCTGAGTCCAGTCCATTCTCACGTTTCTGCATTGTGAGAGCAGAGGTATATATAAGTAATGAGATGTTTGAACGATAGTAGGAGAAGAAATTTAGAAAAACTCAACGATCCGCTTGGAAAGCGTCGTAGTTGTGAGGAGAAATTTGGAATGCAAGAAATGAATAGGAAGAAAAAGACTTTAAACTCCTGCTAGACTTTAACAAGACATATAAAGGATGCCAGGGATTCGGTTACTTTGGATTTCCTGTCACGATTCATAGACGTTGTAAGTTGTACATCTCTTGTGTGGCAGAAAGCGAAAGCTGGCACAGCGCTCCCGATAAGCGAGCCATCTACATCTAGACTTGGGACAAACGCTTTGCTCGGCTACTGGACTGTGCTTATTGTGGTAGGCTTCCAAAAGGGGAGGGGAGGGGCGACGAACAGAACGTCGATCCAGGACAGAAAGGAGATGAATGTACGCTTAAGCCTACTTCTGAATCGAACAAGAGACCTGATAGGTCCTAGATCGAGGTCTAAGCTTAGAATCAAAACATACAGTTGTGGAAGCATTCCATATCATGTTGAAGACATCGATGTGTAGAACTCAGTGTAGTTCGAAATCCAAAAATTCGTGAATTCAAGAAAATATAACATGTGCTAAAGTCCTTAATATCCGAAAAACATAGAGCGGATTCTTGTAGATGCTTACCATTGATCCTTCCATTCGAGGCTGCAGAGAAAAAAACGTCACAGATATATCAGGTAGCCATCTTCATAACCTCTAAACTTTTAAAACAATTTCTAGATGATTATCAACTGACATGAAACAACAGTGTGAAAGTGAGACATAATATTACATGTTCAAGACTGCTCCTCCTCCCAGGATCAGCGAGCATCCGAGAGTGACATTTTTGGATGTAGTTGAAAACATGCTCATGAGTGTGACTGGCATGCAACTTTTTCCCGACATCAGGATGACGCTCCAACCATTCTGAGATCTCAGACCCTTTCACAACCTCTTTATGTTTTAGACTTTCCAGCCAAACATATACGGGTCGCCATTTCTCAGTAATGGGTTTTCCGTATCGTCGGTCTTTTTTTACACCTGACGATGTCGATGCAGGAGCACCCGAGGTGACAGCTGTAGAAGGGATAGTTGTGGCAGGCAAAGTCGCTGTCACCTCTGGAAACATTTTTACATCTTCGTTTGTGTTCACCTTTCCAGATGTTCCTTCCTGCAAGAAAATTCAACGCGGCTTCGTCAGCCCAATGTAAGCCAATATTTTCTGAACAGCAAACTGCCATTGTGAATGTAAAAACCGAATAGTTGACACCACACCGTAATCAACAGAGAAGAAGACGAAATGTTTAATACTGTCATATCGTGTGATTACTAACCGCTCGCAGTTAAAATGTACAAGGAAGTCTACAGAGCACTTTGAACTATCATGTAAAGACCTACACAAGGTTCCTTTCTGGTCTTACACGTCAGGGTCGAAATAGAGTTGACAGTGAAGTGCAGAACGGTTTTCTAAATGAGCAAAAAGAATGGTCTGCATGGCCTAAAAACTGAATTCAGCGAAGCAACTATAATTCCCCTGTCAATAACCTAGAATTCCCCCTATCAACTTGTAGAACTTGCCAAATTTATTTATAAACAGAGCAGATTCATATAATAGCTTTGGAAACTCCGTATCAGTTCATGGTTCCACCAGCTGAGCGAGGTTGGATCTTTCACGGAGCCCCCAAGAAACCCTAAAAACGTATATTTGTCTTCCTTTAAAATCAGATTCGGGTTTGCACCTCCGTTTGTTGCTCTTCAGATTGTGAAAATGATGAGGCATTCGATAAGTGAGAGTTACTATAAGAGATATAATAACACATGGAGGTGGTGGTCAGAGTGTGCTCGATTAAAGACATAAATATAGGTGAAGCTATGCACATTGTTTCGCAGAAATGATCCACTACACCAAGGAGCAGGTTTATATCTTGTCCTTAACATTTCTATCCAATGGTTAGTTGATGATTTTCAAGACGTTGAAGCATGTAGAAGAATGTTGTTCGATGTAGATCATTCAAGTATGCTGGTTTCTGGATGATATTATTTACGATATTATTTGGCCTAGCCCTAGTTCCTTTTAAGTTCATCCTTGCTGAGTCTTGTTGGGGTCTTCCCCATCAAGTCCCAAGTACTTTTCCCTCTTTCAACAATTGCTTGAACAAGAAGGTTCCAGAAATATATCTGTATCAATATATGATAAACATGACTATCTTTGAGTGCAGATATCACTTGTTAGGAAAAGCTCTGTAGGAATAAAAATTTCCATGATCCTGATATACAATGAGACAAAAGAAAAGAAGAGATCACTATTCTTATTCCCATCTCAACAAGATCACTCCAGAACACTACGTACCATGTTGTGTAGTTCGTGCAGTGCCTGTCCTACCCTGATGTGGCATAATAATCATGTATTGATTTATCACGGCGTGCTATCCTTCTTGTACCACAACTAGAACAAAGCACAAATTCCTGCAGACTCATCTGCTTACGCCTCAGGTCTTAGGATGTTTGAATGTAACAGTACATGTAGTAGTAGGTAGTGGGTTGACGTGGCATGCATTGTTACAACGGACTTCGGACATTCTCCACGGCACCAGTCTCAGTCATCAAGGGGGCGTGTCTGGGAGGACTGGGAGCAAACATGTTGTCGACATATTCAGCGAGACAAAATTCGGGTGCAAGTATGCTCAAGACCAGATGACCATAAATTTCGATACCAATCGTCCATTGCAGGTAGTGCACAAAGGATATGAGCAACTTCCAGAAAAGTCAGAAACTATCGCTGGTCGTGGCAGTGTTCTCTGCACGAGTCGCCAGAATCGTGTTCAAACTGCTAACAGAGTTGCATTCCTAGTCTTGCTTTCGGGTGCTGCTTACGAGTTTGAATTGCTCCTCTAGTACGCAGATCCGTTCTTTCAGTTTCTACTTGGGAGGTTAATAAGTAACAGAATGATCTTGGTTCGGATACTCTAGTCCCCAGAGTCGCAGTTTCTCTGGCAAAAGACGATGTTAAGAATTTGAAGTAGGCACCTTGGCGTCTAACTTATCAGCAAGGAAGTAAAAGTCATATCTTCGTAAATATACAAAACTTCAGAAGATTCAGTCTTTTGCTGACAACATTAGGCTTATGACAATAGCAATGCACAAAAAGAAGACAACGAGAACAAAACTAAATTTTAAAGGAGAAGCTCCAGGGAGTCGGTAATGAAGGAGATCGCAAATGTAAGTAGACCCCGACTTTGAATGAGGTAGATAAGAAGGAGTTCAACAGGTTCAAGGTGAACATTAAACATTCATTGACAGAAGTGACACTTTGAGAGAAGAAGATGGTCACAGCACTTGCCCATGAATAAAAAATTTGAAAGAACTGTCCAGCACCATAAGTTCTAAGATTTTTTCACCTTCAGCACTTACTGGTTGAATTCCATCTTGCAAAATGATGAAATCTGCTACGAAGGCAGCATTGTGCTTATGAAGACTGTACAGCAAGATAGAGACAAGGAGGACGACGCAATATGAAAGTTGAGAAGAATATGATGACTACCGATCAATCCCCGCAAGACAGAAGGAAGGTAGACGTGAACAATACAAAAACCAGCCACGGGGTGAAGGCCTTGACAATTTTAGACATCTAAACTAACAAAACAAAACCCACACTCGGGATCAGTAACACAACCATGGCATACCAAGAGCCCAAAAAATGTACAATAATGATTGAAACATCCACTCTCATCTCTAGGTGCTAACAAAAATTGTATGGAAGGGAACGAAACTGAAATGAACATGATAATTAGGAGTGAACACTTCATCTCCATGACTAGGAAGCATCCAATCATACGTCCTATCTTCATGAAAAGAGATGGAACAAGGTCCACTGAAATAAACGAGAGTGAAGAACAAATGGGAGGAAAGAGAATAATGAATTGTCGAGTCCTGAAGACTCTGCTCAAGACGTTAAGACGAGGGCGTTCATTAGAGGAACAAGTACTCCTTACCATTCTACAACCCAACGGAAGTTATACGATAGATTAGATTACACACTTGAGCTCGACTTACAATTAAGGTTCAATCACGTTGGTAAAGGCAACTGAAGAGAATCTGCAAAAGTTACGGTTCAAGTTTGTCCAAAAATATATAGTGGTATTATCTACATCCTCGTGATTACAAGCATGATAACGCTTCAACTTACCTCCATACTGTAAGAGCATCCCCGCTTTGGCTTCACCCTTTCACACAAATATGGCGAGAGGGAGATTGGATCTTGAGGATGCAGATCCGCAGTCACATTCACAGAAATTTGGTGTCCTGTGATGCACAGCCACAAGTTGTAACTAGACTGTTTCTGACATCCTTATCAGAGTCCAGATCATTATAAGCAACTGTGAGCTGACTTCTCAATAGTACGCCATCGACGAACTGTAATCTCCAGACACAATGGAGACTTGGAGGCACAAAAAGGCACAAAAGAGACTTGGAATTGGCTTCTACGAGCGCACCAAAGTTCTTGCTTCTCATCTAAAAATTTTTTTTCTCAAAGAGTTGGCCTGAGTCGTTGTTTCGAGCTATCAATCTTCTTGTCTGAAGGAAACATGTTTAAATATAATTGGGTGAAACAAGGGTACTCGTTATTTGCAAAGAAAACATGATCACTGATGACTCAATGGACCATTCATGATGGACGTTTTATACATAAAGAGTGCTCACAACACCACTGCGAAATTACATTACAGCAATTGAACATAAGATTTAGGCACCCTTCTCTTTGGATTTACTGACGCTTGTTCGGTAAGCCAATTTGAAGGCAGCTCAAAATCTAGGAGCTACTCCAACATGGGACCGAGTCTGCCCAAAAAGGATTCAATATAGAGTGGTATTAATAAACAAGTTGAAGGAGATAATTTGTAAAACACTAGAAATCCGTCATAACCCTATACACTACTTGCAAGCCATTGCAAATCCGAAGAGCTTACAAGTTCTGATCTCGTTTTCTCAGACGCCATGCACTGGCCAACAGCTTTCAGAACATGGTTGTATAATCGGCCTACGTATTTTGTCGATGGAATGCGACATATATAATCAAATTGTGCAGTACGTGAAGCCTCGACCGAGTCATCGAATTTTCCATCAATTCCCTTAACCACTCAAGTATGAAATCAGCCCAAACAAGAGAAGCAACAGCGCATCTCGAAAACTCCTGTCTCAGCAAGCCCGCCCAGAACCAAAATAATTTAGGACAATAGAAGGCTGAGTACTTGATCTGCAAAACAGTACTCTCGACTGTAATGGAACACATTAAGTTGTTCCTTACATAAAAGTAGAGCATTCATGCAAAAGCAACACAGCGAATACTCCAAGGAGCTTGCGTTGATGCATACGACAACGCGATGGAATAAGGCTCTCATGAGTGAATCTGGTAGACACCAAGGAAGTCAAGTTCAAGCGTTCATTCACGTGGATCTAAACTCCAAGTTAGTCTTCACACGCTGAATTGGTATGCACATTCAAAGAAATACACAAATAAGGCAATGAATTTCAAGTTTTGGGCTTAAAAGGATGCATGTGGAAAGCAGATGTGCAAGTAATAAGGTAGAAAAATAAAACTGGTCGACCAAAGAAGGAGCATATATTCCCCTTGTCAATACGTGATCATACATTGATACGACCATTTGACCAGAGTACATGAAATTGATTTCTTAATTTGATTGATTTCAAAAAAAAGGATTTGAAACCAGCCTCATCTGTCACACCGGTAAGTAAAATGCAATAGTTCTATGCCATAGCCAATGAAACACAATGCGGACAACAGCACAGGCAACGTGCATAGAGAGAAGAAATACTGCAAATAAGAGATGATCTGTCATCCTCTGTCTGCTTCGACTGAGGAGAAGCGAGGACGAAGGAAGAGTCGGATTTAAATGATTTTTCAAATCCGTGGTTCTTCTAATTTCTGTGTGATTCTTTTCACTCGAAAGATGAACAATGTTTCTAGCAGATAAGCAATCTAGACAAATAAGATGTGCACACATTCTCTCGCCTCCAAAATAGTTTCAGGTCATTGCAGAGTTTTATAGGTTAATCATGAGGAGAATATTATTGACTAAATTGGCAGAAATCAAGACACATTCTTCCTGAAAGAAACAGCTTACAAAAGACATCAAGAAATTGAAGAACTTTTTTGGTTAGATAAAGAAATGACATATTCATTAAATAAAATACAATTACAAGATTTGGAAGGCCTAAAGTAAGAGGTTTTCTTGTAATGGACACCACATTTCAAAACTGCCAGTTACGTCCGTATTTCCACCTAATCTGCTGCTCAGCTATTCAATGCTCAAAACTTTGTCAAACAAAATGGACCGAGATGGAAATTGACAATCAGATCTTGACATATATCTCAGGGCTATGAGATACCTGAAGGGATTCACGGAACTGATCCCAACGATTTTGATATCTGATAGTCGTCAGCATTTTGACCTACTTTATCAGAGTAAGTGTGCACGAGACCGAACAGGATTTTGACCTACTTTATCAGAGTTAGTGTGCACGAGACCGAACAGGATTTTGACCTACTTTATCAGATTTAGTGTGCAGACCGAACTGCACGTGACCGAACAGGATGCCACTGGAAATATGTTCACATCCTATCACTAATGTAGTTATAGATGTCTCCATGCTGGAGCTGTAAAGGTCCAACTTAATGCTCGTGGTTTCCCTCTCGCAAGTATTTATCACCACATTTGCATCATCTGTCCGATGCTTGTTATATTATTTCCTTACTTGTTCAAGTAATCCTTAAGTTCAAGTTCAGGAATTCGAAAAAAAGAAAACTCAATTTTGAGTGACTGATGTCCTAAGGTAACAAGTAATATAGGAACTTGAACTGAAGGTCATCTGACAGATTGTAAACCATATTGAGAAACAACATTAAGGCACGGAACTTGTCTTACCATGAGTTAAGAATTAAACAATTTAAAGCTACGCGCGGAAATGGAAAAATCTGCCTGAAGGAGTGCAGATTTCATTACCTCCTCTTTCAATAGTACTTATAAAGCATAAAACAAAGCGTAACCATAGCATAAAGTCCTCACGAGCACAAGTTCCAATCAGATAATATAACCCGGTTGTATGTTTATATCCAAAACCCATTAAAAAAACTCTTATCATTGAATCATGTTGGACTAGAATTTTCATTCTAGACAGGCCGAGAAGATTATTGTTGGATCGTCCAGTTACTTCAAAAGGTTAGTAGCTCTGAACTGGGAAAGGTATGACACATTCATCAAGAAGACAATCTGACCGACATGATGAGTCAGACCGAAAGTAGAGATTTTTTCAGTGGTAGTGGTCTTTTTTATAAAAACGGGGATCAAGTGGATAAACAATAAGGATGGGTACTTTAGTTTAAATTCGAACAAGCGTCAAGTAATGGTACTCGCACCAATCGCACTTTTACAGAATTTGTTATATAATAATACATTAGTATAATTTTTATCTTTGCGCTTAAGTTCATTTTACATGTGTTAATTTGAATCATCGTCAAATATTACATACCTCCACATAAATCACACAAACAGAACTGTGTAGTTATTGTACAAAAGCAAGAATGCACAAGGCTCATGCGATCATTTACTGACCAATATGCTTCTCTCAACTGAGATCATATTTGTCTCCGCTATCTGAACCCCAGGTGCCGCCATATTCTGAGACTCAAACTCCAGGAGATGCCTGAACGATCTCTTCTTCTTTTGTCTTGTTGATTTGAATCCTTGCTCCCTTACTCTGTGCAGATTAGCCGCTTCGACATTCACTCTCTTGCAATTCAGGCCTGCACAATCCAACAGCTTCTGTTACAAATCAAATACAATTCACAAAACATGGACATGGAATAAAATCTTGTCACTCTGCAAACTGTAGCTTAAAAATTGAGCAGAGAACTCTGGAAGGTCAGCCCACATGAGTCAAGAAGCAAATTATTTACAAGAAGAGTTAGTATGCAATGACCAGAAGTAATGCTGGATCCGTGTGGATTATTGTCAACAAATTTGTGAAAATTCGTAACAGGTAATGTGGATGGACATCAAAACTTGGCCATGTCAGAGGAACACACTACAAACTTCAGTCAGGCATCCTTGAAGTGTTTCTCTAGTGGGGCAACTCAAGTTTCATTGTAGTGAGGGATGAGAGTGTCGGAACAGAAAGAAAGAACAGGGAAAAAGTTACACTCGCATATGCAGATAGGAAGGAAAATGAAAGGAGAAGACAGAAAACTTACGGGACAGGTGAAAGGCCAATATAGAATGATAAAATATCAAGAAAAAACGTTGAACAGATGTGTCATACACCACCTTGTACGACACTTTGTTGTGGTGATAATCGAACTAAATCACCAAGTAAGTATGTAATTTGACAACATCATGTTTGAAAATGGGAACTCAAATTTACTCAACAATGTATATCGCAAATCTGATCAATCTTGTGGGCAGCGGCATTAGATCAAGGCCGCTATCCAGTAACATACATTCGAGCAGACAAGTTTCTACATAAACATTGTCATACCAGCTGTACAACAGTCATGAGGAAGAGATTAGTGATGCTCATGTAAGAAAGGACACTAGAAGAACTGCTGTAAAAAGAGTGTGGTACATAGAGTCATTCGAAAAATTAAATCAGCAGGAACGTATCATTTGACAATGAATTACCATTCAATTACGAATATAAGATTCTGAGTTCGTGTAAACAAAGTGAAACTCGAATTTCATGAGTGCGAAAAACAATTCAGAAGTTTTAAGAAATTGAATATGTACACCAATCTATGCAGGTATAAAACTAAATGCAGAAAAAAAAGGATAAATAATATTCAAAGAAAACTTTCAACAAAACACAGACCAGAGAAACCAAATAGGAGAATCAAACGGTCAACTACTTACAGTAGAGATGAAATACAAAAGGACTGCATTAACCGAAAAAGATGGAATGGTGGAGAAGTGATAGCAAAGTTTTGATGATCGAAAAGCTATTTTCGTACACAATCAGAAACAGAAAAACTTGTTTTGATGGAACTGAAAAATGATCGCCTAAGCCACCTGAACATATCCACCTGTTTGACCGTGACGTTTACATGAAGGTTTTCTCATACTTGGTATGTTCTGGCTGTTCGGGAGAAAAACTTCAAAACGTCAACAGCATTCTTCAGTCCTATAGATCATGAACAGCGATTATCGGTATCGAAGTAGTCACGCAATCTCCCACATCCAAAACTTCATTCGCACCCATCCCAGAAAATGATTTAGATTCTCTTTGATGTCAAATCACAAGCTTCCCAGTTTTCTGACATTGCTTCGGAATGAACTGTTAATGGTGAAATTACACAGTGATCCCCCGGCTTCATCCAGCTCTGGTTAGATGAGGAAGATTTTCATGACGTTTCGATATTTATCCAAGTCTCGACCCTTTGACCTTGAGGCTTCAACTTTATAATTTGCGAATTGGGACTACAAATATTACCGATCAAAGAAACTAAAATTTCTTCATCTATTCACTCCCACTGTCTTATTTCCTTCCAAGCTCATCGGTCATCCCCATCATACTGCAACGAATTGCAGAAACGACGTGACTCAATACATCCTCCTCGCTCTTATCTGTAATTTGTTAACGGGCAAAATTTAAATCGAAGCTGGTGTAACAGCATATGACTTCGTATTCTTTCAAAAAGAAATGCAACACATCATGTTTCATATTCAAGCTTCCTAAAGTGCCCGGGAATTTTGCTGCAAACATAATGAAGTCGTAATTGCACGTAAAAAGTATAATTTTGTGAGCTGATTAGAAGTGCATGCGCATGTTCGCTAAAACCTCATAATTAGCGAAATGTTACCTTGATATCCAAATCACCACATTCGCGTAGACGAGAACCCGGCTCCACAAATCACGACCAAGTTCCGTTTTGCAGACGGTCTCCGCAAACTATCCGCAGGGCAATTTTGACATCGCAAATTTCTCAGAAACCCGACCCAAACATCACTTTACAACGGGTGGGTTGCTTCTTCTGTGGTTGGAAGGAACTTCAGTATGGAGGGAAGAACCCGGGAAACATTGTTCAAAGAGGACAAAGAAGACATGAATGGGAGGAACAACGTCCTGTGGGAACAAAGTGAGAAAACACCGAAACTTCGCCAGACACGAGGCACCAGAAAGCTCCACCCTGAAATTACTCCATTACAAATATCATCATCCGCGAGATGACTTTGTTCGGACGTGAGAAAAAATGTGGACGGTCTATTACAGTAGAGTAGAGTATCACCAACTGCTAAAAGCGGAGTGCCGCGGATTGCGAGGTCCCACTATTGAAATTATTTTGTTGTCAGCCCTGGAGAATGTCAAGTGATGCACAGTGGAGGGTTGACAATTGACTGACTTCGGGAGCTCCAGTGAGTGACAAAAGGCTGAAGACCTACAAGTGTCTGTCGCCACAGCACTTCCAGAGGAGAAGTTAAAATGAAGTTCACTGAATAGTATAAAATGTTCTCAAATGAAACAACCAACATAAAACAAACATAATTTTAGATCTTTGGTGTGCAAATTGAAGTTGTGAAAACAAAACACAACTAAACAGTTCATTCATAAAAAAATGTGGTGTTAAAAAACCTATTATAAATGTATTACTCATGTATCAAAACTTGTTAATATTATTTATTTCAATTTTAAAACATCAACTTAATTTATAAATATATTCAATAATTATTTGTTTACATTGAAAAAATATGGATCAATATATTATATCAACATATAACACATCTTACACAGATCAACATGACATATATTAGTACATTACAATTCACATTTTAAACAATTTATATTTCAAATTACAAAAATTCAATATTTTTTTATTTTTTAATAAATCATATGAAAAAACACGATTATTTTGTATGTAGTATTAAAATAAATATTTTTATAATAAAGATATAATTTGGGGACAAATTTATGATTATAGTCGTATAAATTTCATCAAAAAATTTCAATCCTATGATGATATACCTTAAAAAATATACATTTAAGTGTGTATAATAATTATTATGTTTATTAAAAATGTGATAAAAAATAAATTCCAATATTTTATAATCGAGAAGAAATAGCAATGTTGAAACATCTAGATGTAGATAACATTTCAATATCTCATGAATGAAATATATTATTTGAAATATTTCCACCATTATTCATTTGGCTGATTCATAACATTCTACTTCTTTGTTGTAAACACTAAACTCTAATCATCTTTGAACTAAGATATTTTTTTACACACCAGATTAGGTTATGACTTGTGTGATGATCTGTTTATAATAATAGTGTGATGAAGCAATAATGCTGGTGCGGATTTTGTTTCATTTTGAAAAATAATAATTTATAATCTTAAAACTCTATCTCTGGTTGTTTATTTGATTTGTTTTCCTGATTCTTCTTCTCATGATATACAATTTTAATTTTTTAATTTTTTAATTTGCACAAACTCATCATGAAAAGTGTATAATACCCTACAAATAGATTGTACATTTTTTAAAAATTATACGTTTAAAATTATTTGTTATATTTTTAAAGACATTTCACAATGTTCATCTTTGAGTTTTAAAACCATTAGGTATATTTAGATTATTATGAAATAATCATGTTTTTCAATCATAATTTCAATTGATTACAAAATCTCACACAAAATGTATCAACATCCAAATTTCTTGTAAAAATTTCTTTGTCAAAGAAAAAATCGTAATAAAATTAAAACCATTATATTAAACTTATTACTATCTATGTAATTTATTATCTGAACTTAACTCATTAATTTTAAACTAAAATTTTGCATTTTAAATTAATTTATTTGAGTCAAATCTCATATAAAATACACATTTGAATTATGAGTTCTCTAGTGATCTAATTTAAAAGTTCAAAACCTCTGAGTAATTCTAAAATCATTTCAAATATGCATTTCCACTCTCTAACTCTACAACATTAAGAAAGAGTGCGAAATCACTGAATGTTTCTTAAAGTTTTAGCTTTTGTCAATTTATTTTGTAGATTTTTTTAGTTGGATGGATTTATTTCTGATTCCACATTATAGAATAAAACTATTCATTTAACTCGTTTTTGAGAATCACAAATTACTGTCCCTCGTATCCAATCAATGCACTCCTCTCCAAATCAATCTGGTAGTTATCTGTCGTTTCACCCTATTTGATTACCATTTTGATTTTTGGACATTTTAGCTCCTTGGTTTTTCTGACTCTTTGACACCTTGACTCTTCAATTTTCTACATACTTGGTTAATGTCAACTGTTTGATAACTGGAAATAAAAATTTTGGGTTTTTTCCAATCTATTGACTTTCATCTTTTCAAAGTCTTATAAAATTTCATCCAGGCATTTCATAGCGGTTACGTGGAAGTAAATAAAGTCGCTTCCTTTCCGCAGCATAGAGTCGTCACCATCGGAAGCAGCTGCTTTGTTGTTTGGTTGGTCGGCAGGTTTCTTGTTTCCTCCGAAGAAATCTCAGGGGAGCAGAGAAGGTTCCTGTAAAGAAACGATGAAGTGTCAGCATTCCGCGAGCTGTACAGACCTAGTTCTTGTCTCCTGCTCTTATATCGAGAGCGAGCTGAGCGCCTGTCGCAGGCGTCGATGATCTCGATGCGAGCGCGAGTGCACAGAGCGAGCGTACGTCATTCCTGTGTCTGGACTGTGGAACGATGAGTACGTAGGGCGGGGACGAGGCTGAGCTTCCTAGTGATCGATTGTTTCAGACCTCGGCAGTTCATTCGGATCGTACCGACGAGCAGTAGATTTGGTGATTGATAGCTCGCAGGAAAGACACCGAATACGAGAAGCAGCCATGGAGGCGTTAGCAGCGTCGTCATTCGCTGAGTGCAGGTTGGTGTCGGGAGTTCCGGCCATTTCGGGCTCGACGTCATCATCCAATGTTGTTTCATCTCTTGCTTTCTCGAGAAATGCTGTTGTTGCGGGGAAGGCGCGAGGCCTGTTTGTGACGCGGTCTTTGGCTTCAAGGCAGCCGAAGAGACTTCCTCTCAATTGCTGCGCTGCAGATGGAAATGCAGTCGCTACCGAGAGTGCGACGGCGGAGAGTGCAGCTGACGAAGTGCCGATTGAGAAGCGTAAGCTGATTGGAATTTGAGCTGCAGTTTGTTAGTATATATCTCTCCGTTTTATGTTTGCAAATCTTTAGCAGCGATTGGGGTGTAACGAAGCTTCAAACGTAAAGGCAGACGGAATATTGGGTCCCATACTTACAGATGCGTGAAAGAGATTGCGAGACAGAGATGGATGTGTTCCTTTCGTGTAGAAATCCGGTTTGTTGATGCACAGACTTTGAGCCGTGGACCTGTGAATTTTTCCTGGTGTCAATTTAGATCATCGGATGGTGAGTGATAAGTTCGTATCGTGTATGGATTGTTTGGACGGTTGCAGGATACCCGGCATTCCCGTCTGTACTAGATATCAATGCCATCCGAAACATCCTACCTCACAGGTAAATCAACAACTGCCGGGGCCAAATCAGGATCAGGTCGAACCAAACTTACGTCGTGATTTTCTTTGCTGCTCTGAAAAAAGTGAGTGCGGAGGACTGAAGCCACTCCAAAACCCGGATATCAAGAAAGTGTGAAAACGGGCCGCGTTGACGTTCGAATTCATGGTCCTGATTTTTACATGCCTGTCTGGTTTGATTTCAGATTTCCATTTCTATTAGTGGACAGAGTGATCGAGTATAACCCTGGCGTTTCAGCGGTTGCTATCAAGAATGTGACGATCAATGACAACTTCTTCCCTGGTCACTTTCCCGATAGGCCAATCATGCCTGGAGTCCTCATGGTTGAAGTGAGTAGCCTGTTTTTTTATTTTTTTTGGTGTAATGATTTTCACATTCCATCCAGATGTTTTGCCCCTGGTGTTACCAAACTTCTTGCCTGTGCTTCTCATTTTCTTCTTAATTTTATAGCATGTCTGTATTGTTGTCGTCACCGTCAGTATCAGATCTTTTAATCTACGAGTTTTCCGAAGTATTTTAATGGAAACCTTCGAGAAAGGGCGACTATGCATAATACACATAATCGTCACCTTAAATATAACAGAGGACTTAATGCAGCTCACGGCTGCCTCAAGAGCTCCTGTGTTTTTCCGAGAAATGTATGGCAACTTACCAGAACATTTATTCTAGCCAAGTAAAAGAAATTTTAAGGACTCAGCAGATTGTGTGCACAAAAGCTTAGCTGGGTGGGGTCTTTATATTTTCACATCCTTTTTGTTTTCTGAAAAATCCATAAAAGTCTCAAGATGTGTTTCTTAGATCTCAGATTAACTCAAACAAGGTACTTGAGATGATGAAGAGAGGTTGAAATCTTTGAGCATATGAGGCAGTTGACAGGAAATCTTAATTGTACGTATCTAATAAGGACAGGGATGCCTGAGACAACCAAAGAGCCATACTACGGTCTACATTTTATACTTCTCACACGAGGACGGCGTTTCTGCAGGCAATGGCCCAAGTGGGCGGTATTGTTATGCTTCAGCCTGATGTGGGAGGCTCAAAGGAGACGTTCTTTTTTGCTGGAGTCGACAAAGTGCGCTTCAGGAAGCCTGTCATCGCTGGAGATACTCTTGTGATGCGGATGAATCTTATCAAGCTCCAAAAGCGATTTGGAATAGCCAAAATGGAAGGGAAAGCATATGTCGGTGGTGTGGTGGTATGTGAGGGTGAGTTTCTGATGGCTCTAGGAAGCGAGGAGTAGTGTTACTGTGATTACTGTAATTTTGCCAATTCTCATTACACCTCTTGCGGTCCGAGCATCTGGAATCCCAAGTTAGAGACCAAGTTATGCCGTGTGTAGTAATCAGTTCGTAATTCAGAGCAAACCTTCGTCTAAAATCGTTGATGTGAGTTCAAGGAGTATGACTGCACCCAAAATGAGTTTCACGAGCTAGGCTGACATTAGGGTGGAGATTTATTTTTTCTATTCCTTAGATTCATCACATGCCACCCTCGGCGGAATTAGGTAGCCTTTTCTGTCCATTATGAAAGGACCGTATTGTTGAACTCTGCCAAAGACCAATGCGGTCGACCAAAGGTAATTCACGTTAAGCTGACAAGTTTGCCGACCAACAGAGATCTCGTGTTCATCTTTCTCTTGTTGTATGACATACCGACTTCACAGAATACGGTCAAAGACCGATGGAAAAATGCTATGTCAATCGTACATCTCATTTCCATGTAACTTAGTCGGCCAATCCTTGACGAGTATTTTTATTTCTATCTTTGTGTGTCCAACATTACGTGCACGTTGCACCGTACCACTATAAGGGTGAGCGTACGGAAGTTTTACGACCATTATGTGGCTCCATTTGTGGATTCCCTATTGTACCCCAACAAACATGTCACGTGTGGCTTTCTTCCCGTCTGAACGAAAAGAAGTTACCTGGGAGCGAAAAGAAGTAAAGCAACTCTTTCTATTCACTGCGTAAATAGAGAAATCTGTACGTGTCGTAACGTTTCCAATGATCACCCGAAATTTTAATTCCGCCAGAGCTTTTTCCACAGACTCTGTATGCGGCCCCTATCCAAGAAATCGACATAGTCCAGAGCAGTAACAAACGATTCTCACATGTATATGTGCTTGTCTCCGTTATCGCCAGTTGACCACACGCAATACATGCAGACGCCTGCATCCGTAGAATAATTATGTGCTCGTTTGGAACTGGATTGCCGAGGAGTGACGTCCATTCAAAGGAAATACTCAGAATTGGGAAGGATCTAAAGTCAGCTTTGGACACACACGACCCTTGCATTTGCGATTTTGTGGTCTCTACCATATGATGCTCTTCAGACTTCACCTTGCCTATTACGGCGCAATGCTACCGGATGTCGTGGTTGACTGGGGGCCTGCCGAGATGGATCCCTGTCTTGAGCAGCGACTTGATAATATGTACCCCGACGCAGCTCGTGCCATCCTGCAATCAATTGACTGAGAGCAATGATTAGGAAATGAGAAGGGCCTGTATTGGATCCCATCATTAGTCTTTCCTAGCCACACCGTTCCCTGATGAGTGCAGTCGGTGTTTTATATATATTCTTAACTATTTTGTCTTACATGCGTGGTGGTATTTCAACATGCTGGCTACCAACTGAGCATGACACATTGATTTTGCATGATGGATCAGTCAAGGCGTTCTTTTTACTCACTAGTAGACAAATCTATTCCTGAATTATGTTAAGCAAAGTAGATCTCAGTCCTGAGCCTTAGTTGCTAAATAAGAAACCACACGTGGTATCAGAATCAGGTGGGTAGTGGTATACGGTTTCTTATTTTGCAATATTTTCGTAAACTTCCATAATTTCATGTTTTGTAGTTTATTCTATTTCAGATATAATATGCCGATAAATTGCTCATGTCTATTTTTGCTAAGATTATCGTCAGAAATGGGATGTAGTCCACCCGAATCTTTCAGAAAATATCCACAGGGAATTTTATTACTCGGACAGTTAGTAGGATACCGAAGGGTTGACATTTGTATCTTCACAATTTCACATGACTGCGGATATGTTCTACATCCTGTACAAAATATGACATACACTAGACAGTGAACATCTGATTAAATGTATGGAAAAACCTTTTCAACGCTACACCGCAAACAGGAACAGTTTCGACTCTATTTATCCAAGTGATCACTTTAGCCCCATGATTACTGAAATTCCCATTTTGTGCTGGAATGATGAGCAAACGAAAACGAAAGATCTATGTAGAACTAAACGAAGACTAAAAAGAAATATCTTTCTCATACAATCTGTGGTCGGATGGTGGATCCATACAACGTGGCTGCTATCCTGGCAGTTGCAACACATATACACTGAACTTCATCCGCCAGCTGCCTATGCTCACCAACTATCCTTCCCCTTCAAGACTAAGGAAATTAATTTGACTTTGTAACAATTAACCGTAATATGAATAAAGGTTTATTATTTAAACTCCTCAGATTACGCATCGAGGTTAAATGAACTGTTTGATATCCTTAATGTGTATTCTAGAAAGTAACATTCAAACTTTTACCTTCTTTTTCCCCTTCTCACATGGCACTCAATCACATATCGAATCGCCATGCCATCAGTATTTTATTTTTTCTCATTTATCAACCTTCGCTTTATCTTTCATTATCTTCGGATTTTCGGTTCTGGTTTCTGGCGTCCTAGCTTTCATGCTGCATCATAATGAATCACATACGTGTCTTCACAATATATGACGAGTGAGAATATCATGGTATGTCCTTTTCGATGCTTAAGTAGCTAGAAGCATCTTTGATGTGCCTTCGAGTTTCTCGCTTCGACGTTATAAACAAAAAAACTCGCTTAATTTTTCGCTCATCTGGATAAGACTACCCAGAAACTCCGTCTTTTCTTTATGTCTTGTGATTTTTCAATAACCTTGTGAACGTGTAAATCCCAACATAGTTTCTGGTACAAATGCTGATCATCACGTCATGATATGTTTCAGCATGTAATTCTACCACGGATCATATTCAGGAATAAGAGTTCGGATATTACGTCTAGAAGGTGTTTCTATGACCTCACCGAATCCTTTTCCAAAAAAATAATGAAGCCAGATAGGGCTGCATCCCAGGTGTGAACATGGATCATACGATGTGACCGAGGTAGAAAATGGACGAGGAAATCCTAAACAGGGGTGCCTAATCGGAGACCATCGAATACTTTCTCGCACTGACGCAATTCTTCACCACCTAGCCACGAGAATGAGAATGAGACACAACTGTTCCACAAATTGGCACAAATTTGCAGAGCTTCGTGGAACAACAGTGTGATTCTCAGACCCTGTCGTGACTCACCACAGTTCCGTCCACTCCCAAGTAGATTTATTTTACTCCCTCGGTGGGCGAAGGAGGCCGGTTCCAGTGAGCTACTGGCGTCGAGACGAGGGACAGCGGGTCCACATTACAGCATTGACAAATGCGTCATGGGCGAGAGGTCCGATTGGCCGAGGCCACCAGAGCCCCACCACCGCGCTCTGACAGTTTGTGACCAAAGCAGAAAGCCGTGGATGTCGGCCGGAGAAGCCCAACTGGCCGAGTCTTAAAGCCTTGACTGTGTAAACGGTCGACAAACTTCCGTGTCTACGTGGTAAGAAGTTGGATTGACTACGTAAAAGTCCACCCGAAAGGCATCTGCGGTATGTGGGAAGGTTCAAACCTGTCAGAAGCGTGGCAATCCTTTACAGTTGGGATATAATATAGAAACGAGTCGGTCCGGCTGTACAGAAACAGTAACTCCCAACACTTGCTGCCTCTAAATTTGGTGACGCGCTCTCGGCCTAAAAAAAGTCCTTACCCTCTCTGAGTTACCTGAACCCTCCAAGTTTCTAGACTGCCACGCGTGCAGATTCTCGGGTCGAAGGTGGTGACTCCAGCCCATCCGAGTGCGTTATCGTGCTCTTCGCCTTCGGCCTTTTCTTTCGGTCCTGCCCACTCCAGCTTGATACAAGCACATCCTCGGCACTACGACACTTTTCCTGCTTTCCAGTAAAGGACAGATGTCGCCATCGAAGGTGATCGATTCGCAGGTATCCTAGTGGCTATAGCTCATGCCTATTATGAGTTCTGGAGAATGTACGAAGGAAAGTAAGCAAAAGATGAGAAGTGGTACATGTTGATACCAAATGACGACTGTGGGGTAATACTCCGATAGAATGACAAAATCTCCAACTGCACTTCATATTTTCACACTATTTACTTCTAATGGCAATAACGGGATATTTTTTTGTTTCAAATTTTGAATAAAAATTCTAGCTACCTTAATTCATGTGTAAGGATGCAGAGATTTCTGTTGTCCGTCAGGACGGAAAATTTGTATTACTTGTTGACCAGCCGTCCAATCAATTGGGATTAGTGAATATTTATGGTTAGCAATGAGTATAATTTCAATGTACAAGAGATGTGATAACATATATACTACATTAGATAGTTTCAGAAATTTTCTATCCAAAATCCTGGATGGAGTATGTATAATAATACAACCAACCAATTTATACAAGTTAACCGATTATCCCAATTCTTTAACCGTAGCATTTGAGATCCATAGAATATTTGGATCAAACTTTATTGCTAATGCTTGCTTTATTTATCATTTTCGTTTCAATTCTGAGTTTTTTTTTGAATTCTTTAAAATAAATTTTTTTAAAAATAATAATAAATGATTTTAAAATACATGCAATTGAAGAATTTGATGAAAAAAAAAAACACAATGCTGTTAGTCTCATGAGAATTAATTTAGCAAAATTCTATTTTCAGATAAAAAAAAATTGAAAATTGGTAAAGTGATATTCAAAATTATTGAATATAATATGACTATAACCAAAAAAATACTATTGTTTTATTAAGGTATTTTTTAACTTAAAATTTTCATGAACAAAAAAATATAAAAAAAAATTGAAGATATAATTTTAATTTTTAATATGAATAAAAAAATGTATACATGTTCTGTGTGACATTCTTGAAATCAACCGTCTTTATGAATCTTGATTTTACAGATGAATGATTTTATAAACAAGTATTAATTATAAAATGCTTCTGAAACATTATAAAGGTTTTCAAAAATATACAACTGTCAATTGTTAAGCTATTCAAACCATATGATTGCTTTACTTTATACAATGTGATTACAAAACAAATCTCAACTCAAATGAGGTATATTTTGTTGATAAAATAAAATAAATTTTAAAACACAAAATATAAATAAGTACATAGTTTTTGAAGCCTAAATTATTCGACTATAATATTATTACATCTAATATGATAACACGTGAATAGAAAAGAGAAATATGTATATGAGTTCAATAAATTCACACTAAATCTGAATGCTTTGTAATTAAAAAAAGAAATAAAATATTAAAATCAATACTTGTGTATTTTTTATATAAAGACATTAAATCAAACCTGTTACATTTTTGAATAAAAATCCATCAGTACGTTTTTACATTATATCCAATTGATACTAGTTTTGTGATGATTTGACTGGATTTAACTAACATTTTTTTAGATTATTACTGAAATTTTTTCTGAATTGTGTAAACTCTTATTGTATATACAAGGCTTTTATGACT